CAACCGTGCTGTGATGACTACACCGGGCCTCGAGACGCAGCAGCGACAAGCCCAGCTGGAGGAGAGATTGAACAAGATATGTGAAGAGGCGGGAAGAGAAAGTGATACTTGTAAGATTCCTTTTTTAAAAAAAATCTTTATCCAGGGAAAGTTCAGGACACGGGGTGTTAAAAGTTGATAACGGCTCCAGGGTTTAGTCCCGTTATAAGAGTCAGACTCACGTCTTCATAATGCCATTTGAGAGCTTCCTCTGACAGACCTCCTCTCACTTGACAAAGCTCTCGCTAAGCCCGAAACTTTCACGTGCTGAGTCGTGCTCTTCCTGATGCTATACGTTACTCTGACATGTTACAGAACTGCTCGGGTCCGTCTGCTCTTATGCAGCGCGGTCACAACATTGTCACCGTAAACACAAACTGCCAACCAAGACAAACTTCCCACATCACTTTGTTATTCCAGCTGATGCAGGACTTTGTCGAAGGCTTAAAGTCTCTCCCTCTGCAGCACACAAGGCAGCTAATCCACCCCACCAATGTTGATACTCGGGGCTAATAGAAATCTAAATCTATCACCTGTTATATTCACACAGTCGCAGCTTTACCGAGGAGCAAGGTGACAAATCTGTTTCATGTGATTAATGGTTCATTTTGAGACCAAACGTATAAATGATGTGAGGATGTTGTCAAAAATGCCTCCTATACTTTCCCTGTTACATCGTGTGAATGAGGCATAAATCCCTCGAGTCATGTGGACCTTTAACACCCCGGTGACTCCTCTATGTACATTTTTTAAATGTGACACACTGTCGCAGAGTAATAATAGAACTGCACTTTGAATCGGTCTAATTCTGACACCCTGCAGCCTGTTATCTGTCCTTGTGTAGATACAGGTGGCATCAGGAGAGAGGAAGCTCAAACACTGCATTAGTGATGTACACAGAGCCTGTGTGCAGTGAATTATAAATGAATGTTATATATAGATATGATGATGGAGGCAGAGGAGGTGCCTGTACATTCGTTTTTAAGGAAGCCTTGTCTGTTATCAGAAATGATTGACAAGGAAAGTGATAGAAAATATAAAAGTGAACCTTTACGACAATGCCGACTGCAACAATAACACAAACTGTCTAGCCGTCCTGCATCGATAGAAAAGAGAAGGCTCAGACGTCCTTGCAGATTTGTTTTTATGCAGAATTTGAGGAGTGATGACAAAATGTCTTAAAGTGTCCGTCGGCAGTCAGAGCCTGCAGTCAGAGGCTTGGGTGGTGGTGGATTGACAGTTTAAGTGCTGTTCCATATTTTAGCCCAGGTCACATATTCTGTAAAATCCACTTCACCATGTTTCTCTAACTCTGACATGTGTCCCTAGCCTGTCTACAATCCCCCCAGTGATGAGAAAAGTCCATCCTCTCCGTCTTTTGCCTGCTCCACTTTTAAGAAAATGTGTGCTCAAACAGGCCGTTTGGAAATTTTCCCTTCATGACATCACAAAGGGCAGTAACCCCTCCCCCAGGTGGGTGACACTCCCACAGCTAGGTGTTTGTTCTGCCCTGAGTCTACCTTCTCACCGTAAACAATAGGACATGGAGCGAGAAAGCCCAAGCACACCCAAACCCTTCCAGAGAGGGGGCGTGGTCAGACACAGCTCATTTACATATTTAAAGGTACAGACACAGAAACAGCCTGTTCTGAACAGGGCTGAAATAGAGGGGTTTATAGGCATGATCAAATACAGAATCAGAGTGGATTTAGAACAAGAAACTTCAAACACAAGTTTTGAGGAGCTTTGAGACTTATTTACACTGGTTGAAGAGGAGGAAGATATGTCACCTTTAAAGATTTCCAGCGTTGTTTGTTCTTTGTGACAGTTTACTGAATACTGTAAAGATCTGGGATGTAAGTCAGACAAACAAAGACATTTAATATCTTCTCTTTGAGCTTGAGAAAAGGGTGATTGCTTTTTTAATCCTATAATATTTTGCACTCTAAGTGATCAATAGATTGAAGCTCTTTGTTATCAGATTAAAGGTTTATTTAAAACAACAAGCCTTAACTTTATGATGGATTATTTAAAAGTCTCTTGCCAAAGATGAACATTCAGAGATGTATTCATGTCAAGTGCTGCACTTAGCTAATTTTCAGATCCATAAACACTGTTTACAAATTCTGTGTTTATCGCTGTGGTTATCTCCTGAAACGTGCTGTCTGGGATGCATCTTTAAAAGCCCTTGGAGGTCTTTGAGGCGAGTCTGCTTCACATTCCCCTTTAATCATGTTCACGGTGCTTCTAAAAAGGTACAAGAGTTCAGGAAACAAAAGTAGTTATTTGGTTTCACAGACATGTTCTTGAATGTGTCTGTGTGTTTCATGTGCAAAAATGTGACAAGAATACTGATGTAAAGGATCATTCTTGTTGCACAGCGAATACTACAAATTAGATTTTTTGTTTTTGGAGAGTGATTAAGTTTATAAGACATATTTACATGCAGTTAACAGTAAAGACAGAATTCTGAGACTATCAGTTAGATGTTTCTTTAACCTAAAAGGAGCAATATCAAGCTCTGATACCTAGTGTTTAAAATGGGTACTGCAGTCAAAATTCAAAACATTGTAGAGAGCTGTCCCCAACTGCCCCCTCTTCTCTAGAGTCGATGCTCACACAGGTTGCCATGTGGTGGACACTGAAGCTTCAGTGTTTAGCCAGCTCTGCATCGGTCTGTAAACTTTTCTGCGTTCTAACCTCTCTCCATTTTTCGAAAGCATCTCCAATATTGATCCTAGTTTGAGCACGTTTCTGCTCGTGGAGCTTATTAGAAACATGCAGAGGCTTTTTAGGTCGGGTACAATCACTTCTATCTGAACCACTTCTCTTGCCCGCTTCCATCGCTGCAACACCTGTTGACCTGATAACTGCTCTGATATCTGGTAAACGAGATATGACGACGAGGGGCGTCCAAAACGGCCGTGTGGGGGTGTCTTAAAACCGCCTACCTTCTCTGGTCCAAACAAATCCAGAGCATTCAGGACCAGAATCTAAAGTTAGAAGGAGGACATACTGGCTGCTGCATTGTTGTCAGAGAAGCCAGCACTTCAACACAGCATGTTTCCTTAATGTCTGATCAGATAGTAAGCTCACTTTATCATTTCACTCAGTACACATCTCACTGACTGGATATTAGACCTCAGTTTTTCTGACACCTTGATACCACAGGGTGACAAAGTCTGACACAATTAGAGCTGACGATCTCTGCTTCATGGCGCCACATGAGGGTTCAGATCTATCTTATTATGGATTAGCCTAAAGAATGTTTTGCGAATAACCCATAGCAGCCTCACCCACCCTGAGCACCACCGTCCATCAGAGCTTTGACACATCATCATCCCATCCGCTGCACGCCGCATCCAGGAGCTGCTTTCCCTGATACAACAGTGACATCTGCTGGCAGGAAGGAGAAACAGTGAGGCTTCTTTCAATGAGTCAGAGCAGTCAGATTGAGAGGAAAACATGTAAGACATTTTGTTTTTTAATAAAGAATTATGACATCTATAATAAACAGTATTTTAATACCAGTTTGTTTTATGTTGAATGAATGCACCAAAACCTTGATGTCCTAATCTTCCATCTACCTGAAGCTCCTTACTTTATTTCAAAATAAAAGCAGGGTTGAAACAGAAGGTAAAGAACACTCAGCTTAAGACAGTACACACGACGTTCAAAATAAAAGTTATTTCTCAATGCAAAATAATGTGATTACAAATGTAATTAAAAATTAGATTACTAATTGTCAAAAAAAGGTGAAGCCTTTAAAAAGTTCTGCACCTTTCCCCCGTTTGCTGGGTAATGTTGATGTGTCAAATATATTGTAAAATCATGAAAAAGAAAAATGAAATTTCATGACGGACTTGATTAACAATCAAATAAGAATACATTTGGTTATTGACATAGTTGATGTAGTTTTGTTTCATTGTTGTTGTTTTTTCCCCTTATATATAAACTACGTATTGACTAGCAAGCAGCCTTTTTTATCCAATGATCATTTGTATACCACAAAAATAAACTTCTCATCTGATGTGACTGTGTGAACTATGTAGGATTTAGCTGTTTATGCCCAAATTATTATTACTATTATCTATTCTTATCTATTTTTAGTCTATGTTCTGTCAGCTGTCTTGTCTCCTTTTTTGTAAGTTGTTGTTTTTTTGTTTTGTTTTGTTTTGATACTGTCAATGTTATGTCTATTTGTTTGTCTTTTTTTGTGAGTGTGTTACTGTGTTACTAAATGAGAATGCAAATAAAAATATTGGTTAAATTTTTTTTTTTTTAAACGACATCATCTATTGCAATTCAGCGATTAACCACGATTAAAAAATGTAATCTCTTGACAGCCCTAATATATATATATATATATATATATATGTGTGTGTGTGTGTGTGTGTTTCCCCTAGGTTTACAGCGTTGGGAGGGGGGGGGGACAAGCCGACAAGCCGACACGACGACACAAACACTCAAAGGAATCTTGGTGTTCATGTGTTACTTTTAATGACAGCTGTCCTTTTCTATCGGAAAGGTATCCTTAAATTACTTCTTTCCCTGTTTTCCGACTCTATCCACTATCATATCCCTATAATAAAGGCCCCAAAAGCCCCAAAATGAATCTTCAAAATAATAATAATAATAATGATAATAATATGTATATATATTATTATTTTTTTTACCGCCCCCCCAATATAATGGTAGGGGAAACACTGTATATATATTATATATACATATAAAAAGTATTTAAGTAAGAGTATTATTATCGACATAAAGGCTCATGTGTCATGTTATGATTATCGACTGTAAGTATTAATGTATTAAGGTACATATTTATATATGTTATGACGCAGGTTGGTTGATATTTATCAAAGAAACGCTTGCTAACAGAAAGAGAACGATCACTGACTACATTTCCCACAAACCCCAGCGGCATGTATCGGGAGATTACGTCACGTGCACTCCCAACTTCCGGTTGGAGTGTAAATGGATACATGACACAGTTGTTTGGAGGAAAGCTACCTACTCGAAAAGCCCCTTCACGTACATTAAACTAGCGACGCGGGTTTTGACATCCTAACGGCTGACGGCCCCCCACCCCTCTTTGGAGACTCGGCCGCGATGGAGGCGGTCCCCCGGATGCCGATGATCTGGCTGGATCTGAAGGAGGCAGGGGAGTTCCCGTTCAGCACGTCCGTCCGGCAGGTGAGCTGGGCTGGGTGGGGGAAGTGGAGCAACAGGGTTCGAAAGTCAACCAAACACGGATTATGGATAAACCACGTCGAGACGCTAACGTTAGCCAAACGACTGAACCACCTGGAGTCTGTCTCCGTCTGATGGGGGACTCGGGGGGAAGTTTCCAGAAGCTAGCGAAGGTCTGAATATGGAAAATCTCTCCCCTGGACCACCGCCTTTTGTTTGCTAACGTTAGCCTCCTGCTAGCTATTGATAATAAGCTACCTCCAGTGTTAAGTTTATAATGACCCTCCCCTCCCCTCCCTTCACAAGGAGCTAGCTTAGCCGGATATAAACAAAACAAGGTGCACGGTGCGAAAACAAGCACCATGGCTCCTCACGGCCCGCCGGTCAGGATGCAGACAGGAAAATAACAACCAGTGATGTCATTGTCACATGCACCTGACTACAGCTGGTTGAAATGTAGGAAATAACACCTCACACCACTGAACAGAGCATCCAGTCACTCAGCGTGGAGACAGGTTTTTATTTATTTATGAAGAGTTAACCCCCCTCCCCCTCCCCGCAGGAGAAAGTTAAACAGCTGTCACAAAGTTTCACCTGTTGTTATTATATTATCACAACACAACCAGTAAGAGGTAGTGTGTTCAACTGGTTTCCTGTGTCGCACTATAAGAATAATTTCATAAATATGGTGATGACAAAATCAGTTTACCCCACATGAAAATACATGTATTTTTTTTAAGGTCCTCCACAAAATGAAAAATTACTTCACTGGGACTTACCTGTGAGCGAATGACCCGCCTCCTCAGGTTTGCCCAGCGTTATCACATGTGCATACACAGGTGTGTTAGATAGATACAGTCACATAATAGATCATCACAATATAGATTATTATGACACTACCTGTACCTGGGAGTTTATCTGGACTGGTCCAAGCACACAAGACTGGCCTGAGAGGCGGCTCTACTTCCTGAGGAGGATGAGGTCCTTTAACATCTTCATGGATGATGCTGAGGATGTTTTATGAATCTGTGGCGGTCATTGTTATGCTATTTGCTGTTGTGTGCTCGGGCAGAAGGCTGACGGTAGCAGACAGACTCCAACAGACTCGACAAACTGATCTGCCAGGCCGGTGACGTTGTGCGGGTGGTGACTCTCTGACGGTGGTGTCAGAGGGGAGGATGCTGTCTAATTTGCATGTCATCTTGGACAATGTCTCACAGCCACTCCACGACACAGGAGCTTATTGACTGATTTCCCCCCCCACTATGCACCACAGATGCCACAGGAGGTAGCTCTTAAAGGTGGTGAACAAACTTTACAACTCCTCCTCTGTGTCAAACACTCTCTGTCTGACCGTGGATGGTTTGAAACTTACAAACTGTAAACTTGTCTTTAAAAGTGCACTATGGAGTTTCAGGGTACAGTGAAAGTAAAAACGAGGCAGAGCAACTTCTTGTGGCAGGTTACATACCTGAGGCCGCTCTGTAGGAAGTAAACAAACAAGAGGGAGGATGTGAACTACAGGTACATTAAGGAGAGTGAATGAGGAAGTCTAGATCTCCATTTTTGAAAACTGCAAATTTATCGATAAAATCAATTTATCCCCAAGTCCTCACTCCACCCGAATCTACAGTATCTAAAAGATTAACATGTTGGCCCATCGTACCATCAGAGGAAGACGACTTAGTGTTGGATGTTTGTCTGCTGAGGGCTTCCGTAAAAGTGCTCAAATACAAGTTTATGATGGAATAAGATTCTTGTCACGACACTGAAAAGCGTGTCCTAGGTCCAAGCTTACTCACATAGAAAAAAAATCAAACAAAAGTAGAAAGTGCTAATGGTTAAAAACTCAGTTTCATCTCTATCTGATGACCCATTTTTCAAGATACCTTCCTTCAGACCTTTGCTCCCTTGAGTTACTGCAGTTCCTTCCAGTAAAAGGAAGCAATGAACTTCCAGGAAGCTGCATGTCTCGCACTCTTTCAATATGTGTCGATTCAGTGACTCGTACCGTAAAAGGCTGTTATGCTTTCCCTTTATTACAACCTTCAGTAGAGGTCAAAGGTAATGTGTTTTTGTTTTGGATGTTGGATCTCGTTTTTCATCGGGATCAGAATCTGTTCTTCACAGTTAACGGTCATTCTTCATGGATAACGTTGATACCTCAGATTATCATTTAAGATCATATCTGAATTAGTGACAGCTCATCAGTTTTCTCCAAACATAAGGCAGTGCAGCATATCGAGAAAAGAAAGAGGGGACAATGCTCTCTAGTAGGCCTGTCCCAGACTTTCCACAGTTGAGTTGGTTTTGTTGTTGTTTTTGTGCTCTCTTTTAGGACATTGTTTTTCCTCACTCATTAAGTCTGCATTAATGTGACCTTCTAACCATATCACACATGTCCAATACAGCAGACGCACACACACTGATGGCCCGGTGTGTGCAGGTCAGACCAGCGACAAACAAACAAACAAAAACGTCTTTTAACCATTTGAGGAGTTACTGAACTATCCTGATCATAATAATCCACCAAACTGATTCCCAACGATTTAAATCCAGAGAAAGATTTTATCCAAACATGTTAGCTGCTTCTATCAATACATCAGGGTGATATTCATGCACACACTGTGGAGAGTCATTTAAAGTAAGAGTCTTCATAAGGTTATATTTAGACTACGAGAGGCTTTGAGTTATGAAGTATTTTGAGAAAACAGACAAATCTATGTAAAGTTAGACTTTAAACACCCCCGTAGAGCTGGAATGGAACGATCCTCATACTCGACTGTGAGACTGGTAGTCGACTTAGACTCGACTACATGGGGTCCTCCCTACTTTCTTGTTGTCTTCTCGTTGTGCATTTAACCTGAAGCCTTGTGACCTTCCTGCTTTCATAATTTAATCATAAAAAAGAAACAAATGCCAAAGAATGAGTATTTCTGCAAGAAGGTTTCACCTCTCCACCCGGCATAAAGCAGCATGCTGCTTACCACAGTGGCTAATGGGGATGGGGGGAGGCTTGGCAGAGCATGATGGGAAACTCCAGCGCCTGTGAGATGGTTTAAAGTCTCTGGCTCATGCTCCGGGCGACAGATTATTCGACTATTAAAAATTCCAGTCTGGAGTTTTCTCTAACACTCTTCTCTTCTTCTCAGTTCATCCTGAAGAACTATGGAGAGAATCCTGACAACTACAACGAACAGCTGAAGAAACTGGAGACTCTGCGGCAGGTTGGTGCTGCTCGTACGCCTCAATCACTTCCTGTCACGTCTGAAACTTGTCTCATCGTCTGCCGTCAACTCCTTTCTGATTGGCTGGGCCACTTTAATCAAACAAATAAACGGAGGAATAGAAGATGTAGAGCTGCGTAAAATGCAGATATAAACCTGTGTGTTTGTCTGTGTTTCCACAGAGTGCTGTAAATGTGACGAGGGATTTCGAGGGATGCAGCACACTGAGGAAGTACTTCGGCCAGCTGCATTACCTCCAGAGCAGAGTCCCCATGGGAACTGGGCAGGAGGCTGCAGTACCCATCTCATGGTAACAACACACACACACACACACACACACACACACACAAACACACACACACACACACACGTACAGACACACCCATCCACTTAAAATCTGAATAATTGTTTGTGTTATGACCACTCTCTGTTTTGGACCTGCTGTTTGTTCGCACAGAAAGGGATCAGACCGATACTGTATGTTCAAAAGCTGATATTAACCCTTTAAAAATCCAATTTCCAGTTAATTTGATGTTACTGAGACGCATTTTCTCTACCTTAAAGGTCCAATCAGTAAGATGTGTAGAGACTGAAATGATAAAATGACCTTACTCTATGCAGCAGCCAGTATGTCCTCCTTCTAACTTTAGATTCTGGTCCTGAATGCTCTGGATTTCTTTGGACCAGAGAAGGTAGGCGGTTTTAAGGCACCCCCCCCCGTTTTGGACGCCCCTCGGTTTGTCAGATATGAGAGCAGTTATCAGGTCAAACCAACAGGTGTTGCAGCGATGGAAGCGGGCAAGAGAAGTGGTTCAGATAGAAGTGATTGTACCCGACCTAAAAAGCCTCTGCATGTTTCTAATAAGCTCCACGAGCAGAAATGTGCTCAAACTAGGATCAATATTGGAGATGCTTTGGGAAAATGGAGAGAGGTTAGAACACAGAAAAGTTTACAGACCCATGCAGAGCTGGCTAAACGCTGAAGGTTCAGTGTCCACCACATGGCATTTTGTGATTGAATGTTTGAAATGTTTGTCTCCGTTAAGGACGGAAATCTTCTCTGGAAAAACAGTCACCCATGATGACATCAGCTATGAGCAGGCCTGCATCCTCTATAATCTCGGTGAGTAAGCTCATGTGGAGATATTTATAGTTGTGTTTCAAAACCAGACACATTCACAGAGAAAAGGGTGGCTACATAAGACGATTTCAACTAATAATAGTAACTACATGATTCTCTGCAGGAGCCCTACACTCCATGTTGGGAGCCATGGATAACAGGGTATCTGAGGAGGTATGACACACACACTTACACACACAGTCATGCACATGCACTTCCACACAGTCCCACTGACTCTGTGCTTTCCGTCCAGGGGATGAAGGTGTCCTGTACACACTTCCAGTGCTCGGCGGGGGCGTTCTCCTACCTGAGAGACCACTTCAGCCACAACTTCAGCGTGGACATGAGCCACCAGATCCTTAACCTCAACATCAACCTCATGCTTGTAGGTTACACACACATGCATATACACAAAGGCACACCTAGATCACTGTCTCACCACTCTGTGTCCTCCTCCCAGGGTCAGGCTCAGGAGTGTCTGCTCGAGAAGTCCATGCTGGACAACAGGAAGAGTTTCCTGGTCGCTCGCATCAGCGCTCAGGTCCCCTCCTCATCACTAATTAAATTAGATCTCATATTATCAAGAGATTATTGAATTGTTGGAGGTTAATTACTGTGTGTCCCGCTTCAGGTGGTGGATTACTACAAAGACGCGTGCAGGGCTCTGGAGAACTCGGAGACAGCGTCCATGCTGGGAAAGATTCAGAAAGACTGGAAGAAACTGGTTCAGATGAAGATCTACTACTTTGCTGCGATTGCACACGTGAGTCTGATGAGCGGCCCGGTTTGGTTCAGTACAGTTGGGTACGATGGACCCTGATCTTGCTTGCCTTTCCACAGTCGACCGTACCCCTTACTTTGTAAAGTGGGATGGCCATAGCTGCGCCAGCTACGTAATAGCGTGACGTCATAGCAGTTAAGCCCGCAAATAAATCCAATGAAGAAGAAGAACGCGACACAACTAGCAAAGGGCAGAAATGGAGGAGGTCCAGCAGAGGTCTTCACCTCCGAGGTCGTCCATGGGGCGGGGCTACTCGCTGACACAGTCTTGAAATGACTTGAAATCCCATAATCCACGGGATATTTAAACATGGTGTGTTTTGTGTTTGCCCTTAAATACAGCTGTTCGACAGGTAGTGATGATTCTTTCGACCAATCAACGGACTGCAGTGTGTTTAGCCCCCCCCCCCTCGCTTTTCACATCCAGAGACTTTTAAAAACAGACGGGATAAAATGTTGGTCGCCTGTTTTCTTTTGTCCAGCGCCTGGATGATGGCGTCTGATATTCATTCAAATGTTTGATGTGTCAGACTCTGACTCTGCAAACCTCAAAGTTTAACCTACACAGCTGATTCAAAGGAGCAGGCGGGTCAGTTGTCGCCATCTTGTCATGTTGCATCCGAGTGTCACTCTTCTTCCTTGTGTGTTTTGTTGTGCTTCTTCTTCTTTGTTGGTTGTGTAAGAGCGGTGAAAAAACAGTTACGAGCATTACCACCACCTTGGGGATTTGGACGTGTGATCTCTTTTTGACGCGCAAACAAATCGAATTTCAGGCCTATTGCATGTTTATTTGGACTTGATTCCTCACATGCAGACATGCAAACTGTTCTTTGTGTCTCTTGTGTTTTTCTGAACAGCTTCATATGGGAAAGCAGGCCGAGGAGCAGCAGAAGTACGGAGAGCAGGTAGGTCCACCTGACCCGATCGTCTCATAAACAAACATGTTCTTCGTTCTCTCCTCTTCTTTTCTTTCTGTCGCCTGATATGACCCTCTGTGTCTACAGGTGGCGTACCTGCAGAGCTCCATCGACAAACTCAGTGAAGCCATCAAACTGGCAAAGGTAGACATTTATTCATGACGTGACACTCGATGAGATCGTGTCGGTGTAATTCATGCATGCATCATTTAGAAGAAAAAGTCAACGAGATCTTAAACATGGTGCAGAAAAAAGAACAAATTTGTGCAAAATAAATGATCAGAATGCATAAACGGATTTTTTTTCCACTAAACATTTGGAAATCTATTTCTCCTCCAAGTGAGGGGACGTGATAGGAAACGTTTGAGTGTGTGTGTGTGTGCGCCCCCCTGTGGTTTTAAAATGCTAAGCTCTGCTCTGTCCTGTCCTGGTACGAGCAGGGTCAGCCTGACAGCGTGCAGGAGGCCTTGAGGTTCACCATGGACGTCATCGGGGGAAAGTGAGTGATACCCCTCTAATATGAATTCAGTACTTCTCATGATGTTTCACGAGTTTCTCTGAAGAAGTATTGCCTTTGAACTCTAACCTGCAGGTTCAATTCGGCCAAAAAGGACAACGACTTCATCTACCACGAGTCAGTTCCTTCTCTGGAGACTCTGACGTCGGTCAAAGGTAACGCATCCTGTTCCCTCTCTGCACCGTTATCACTGTGAGCATGCAAAGCAGCGTGCACATGATGTAAATTCTTGGATATGTGTTTGCAGAGTGATGTTGAGGCCTGTGCGTCTCCCGCTGTGTTTAACTTGGTGTGTCGGCGTTTATAAGGACATCCTGTATGTTTAATCAGTGAGCTACTCTGCAGGTTTCATTTACATGAACGACGTGGCCGAAGCCATTCTGAAACAGATATTCATCCACATCTGACACAGCTGGAGGTGTTGTTCTTTGCTTTATGGATCCTATTGTCCGCCATCTTTTGAATGCAATAGCTCATGAACACCTGGAGGGGAGGATCTTCAGATTTAGCACAAACGTCCGGTTGGATTTAAGGAAGAGGTGATGAGAGTTCTGTGGTCAAAGGTCAATCTTAAAGGTCAATATGGCCTTGAGATATCGCAGCAACATCTGGAGGGAATCCGTCCAAGAGAGCGACGCCGTCCAGGATTGATAAACGGGCAACCTCCTCTTCTTTCTTCTCTGTCTGTTTGACCTGCTGTTGAGAGAAGGAGCTACTCTCTAGAGGAACGCAGAGAGACGTTTTCTAGTTTTATGTTCCTCCTGTGAATGATGGTGGTGCAAGCGACTCTTTTTTGAGGCTGTGGTTCTGTTTCAGGGTAATGTATCCTTCTTAATGGTTAAACTGGGATTCTTTGGTGAACACTGATGCAAACTGTGACTTGGCTGCTAGTTAAACTTTTATCAGGGCACTTCTGCTTGGTGCCAAATGTGGCTTCGTTCAAGCCAACATTCTCTCTGTCAAAGGTCAAATGACTGAGTTTGACACTCTGGTGTCGGCCTGCTGGGTTTAATCTGGGCATTAACACAGTTTGGATGGATTCGGTGGAGATATAGATTTTGAGTACATTTCTGTTTGAGTTCTGCCTGTGACTAATTTTCCTCAAAGATGAACAGGAATGTATGTCTTAGTTTTTTGCTTGACGCCAACACATCATGGAATTTGACATTAACATGCTAACAGATTTAGCATCACATTCCCGATATCTATTTTACTTATTAATCAATCAAAACTTTATTACAGACTCAGGGTCTAAATAAGACAATATGAAAGACATAAATGCGATGCATGGTATAAAAATCATTAAATTCAAATCAATGCCCTCAGAGGATACAACTGTATCAGTGGTTCCATATCTCAGATTGATAACATGTAGTGCTGCATGTGATGCCTGTCAGGGCCAAGATGACTTATTTTGTCAGTTATTGAGCCGACAAATACATTTAAACATAAGGTTTCTCAAGATGGCTTGCAGCCACATATATTTCCCTGTCACTTCACCACGAGGTCTTCTGAGCAAGACTATTAGTGCATCATCTAACAGTATGCTACTTGAAGTTTATGTGAGCTGGCTTTACTGTAGTTAGACCACAAGTGGACTTTTCAGGTTCTTAAGAACGGGCTGACCACATCAGAGTCCCAAATGAAAGACATGCTGACAGACGATGCAGTTTAAAGGATTTATTTTCCATCCAAAGCCACGCTGTCTGTGGTAAACTAACCGGCAAACTGTAGACTAAACAATTGCCGTCATGATTCAATTAAAGCTAAACTCAAACAGATTCAAGAAACACCACAAAAATAAGCATGAACAACAACATGTCTTACATGATCAGGAACGCATAGCAGGGGTAGAGGAGGGAGATCTGAGGGGTGTACAGCTTTACGTTGGGGCCTTCTTTAGTGTTTGCTGGCACAGCTGGGATTGCAATGATCGATCCAGCAGGACATTTAGTGGATGTGACAACTCTGTCCACTAGGGGCCGCCATTTAGGCAACATGGAAAGTAGTTGCCAGCCTCTCCTGTTGATGTCTTCCTCATCCTTTGTTTGTTTAAAGGACTAACAAACGATGTCGTTGTTGGTTTTGGATCTTTTTTTCTTGTTGCTTTTGGCTCTGTTGTTTTCTGCTGATCTTTGCATATAAAACCGAGCTAATGTGCCCCTGAGCGAGTAAAACCATCTCCTCTCTGCCCCTCTAGGTGCCCCTCTGGTTAGAGCTCTACCGGTGAACCCCACAGACCCCAGCGTTACCGGACCAGACCTGTTTTCCAAGTTGGTGCCCATGGCGGCCCACGAAGCCTCTTCGCTGTACAGGTAGGCACAGTCCGAGGTCATACGAGTCAGAGAGCATGAAAGTCAGATGTTCTTCAGGTTTTTTTATTCCTGTCTGTCTTTTTCCAGCGAGGAGAAGGCCAAGCTGCTGCGAGACGTCGTCACCAAGATAGAGGGCAAGAATGAAACACTAGAGTGAGTTCTCCTTTCTGTATGTTTGTGTTTGTTTGTGTGTGTGTGTCTGTTTTGTGTGTGTGTGACCTTTGCTGATACTCACGATAAATGAAGTACTATCCACCCAGCATGTGATGTAGGTGAGTGTTTGTTAGAGTAACTGAATATATCTGTTTGATCACATGTCTGTCAGTAACCTGTGCTAAAGTGTGGCAGGAAGTGAAAGGCCCTGTGTTTATTTTTCCCCTGAATTGAGTCTGTAAGGTGATCTTAGCTGTAATTACTTAAAGCCGATCACACAGAGACACGTCGCCTGAGTTCACCAGCTTGCAGCGCATGTAGCTGTGTGAGCATACGGGCAACCAAATAAAAAATTAGTGGTAGAAAATGTATTTGAGAAAACATAGAGCTATTGCCGTTGCTTTGCTCCGAGACGAGGAGGAGGGGACTAATTTAACCCTACCTTGAGGTATCTTGCGACATGAAATTAGACCTCTTACGATGTCTGACCCTTGTTTTAAATTAGAGGCAATTCTATTCTAAATGGACTGTTCTGGTCTCTCTCTCTCTCTCTGCAGACAGTTCATGGACTCTCTGGGCTTGGAGCCAGAGTCCGTCGACAACCTGGACATGTACAGCCACATCCCTCCGGTCCTGATGGAAAAATGTGCCGCTCTCAGTGTTCGACCCGACACCGTCAAGAGCCTCATCCAGTCCATGCAGGGTCAGTATTCACATCACATTCAGTGTTATAGCTACTTTAATCACGAGTATTATCTTCCTTTAAAGACACAGTATGTAAATTCCACCACCAGGGGGCTCTCAATAAAACTATAACAATGGACTAATTTGATACTGGTGGGGAATCAAGGGAGTGATCCTCTCTGTGATCCCAGTCTCCTTCAGTTTTATCAATTAATAACATTCATACCGTTAATTAACCTGACCAGCGAGCATGAATCATTTTAAACAGGCACAGTTTTCACCCCTTGTGTTAATAAAGCCTGCTACGCGTCTTGCTACTGTAGGGCTCTCCGGTGTCTTCACTGATGTGGAGTCGTCACTGAGAGAGATCAGAGACGTCCTGGAGGAAGACGAGGGCGGTGAGCGAGCCCTCCTGGAGGCCTGCGGCCCCGCTTCGGCTGAGATGCACCCAGCGGCGCAGGCTCAGTCTCTGGCTGAGATCCGCAGAGACCTGGAGAAGTACATGGAGGCCCATGAGAAGGCCAGTTTCACCAACACGGAGCTCCACAGGGCCATGAACCTGCACATCAGCAACCTGCGTCTTCTGGGGGGGCCACTGGAGAGTCTGAGAGATGCTCTGCCCCGGCCCCAGCTCAATGAAGGTGAGCTTGTGTTTAATAATGGGGGTTTGTGTTAATCTGTGTCATTTAAAGAGTCACATATTCTCCTCCTCTTCAATTTAAATAAGTCTCAGAGCTCCCCAAAACATGTCTGTGAAGTTTCTTCTTCTAAATCCACTCTGATCCTGTATTTGATCATGCCTATAAACCCCTCTATTTCAGCCCTGCTCAGAACAGGCTGTTTCTGTGTCTGTACCTTTAAATATGTAAATGAGCTGTGTCTGACCAGGCCCCCTCTCTGGAAGGGTTTGGGTGTGCTCGGGCTTTCTTGCTCCATGTCCTATTGTTTACGGTGAGAAGGCAGACTCAGAGGGCAGAACAAACACCTAGCTGTGGGAGTGTCACCCACCTGGGGGAGGGGTTACTGCCTTTTGTGATGTCATGAAGTGAAAATCTCCAAATGGCCTGTTTGGAGATTGCTGAATGAAGTGGGTGTAATAAGCTGCATTGGTCATGACTTTAAAGGGGCTATATGTAACTTTTTACATGTATAAATCGTTTTTTATCTCCCATTAATAAGCGAACGGTTAACTGATGTGAAAAAGTAGATGTTCACAGTCTATCTGTGTTGCCTTTATAAAAAGTTTCCCCCGGTTGTATTTACCGCGAAAGCTCCAGGAAGTGCCATTTTATGCACGTTCTCAACGTCATCCTCACTCCGCTCCGCTTACAGAGATCAACAGTACAAACTCATCACACACTCCCGGTCTTCACCTCCACAGCCAGAGGCCGTCTTCCACACACTTCTATCCGCTCTAGGAGCTCTCAAAGGCGGACAAACTCATCAGACACTCCTGCTCTCAGCCAGTGCCTGCCGAGACTGTAGTTTGTAGGATGGAGAATGAATACAGACACACAGACTCCTTCACAGACTTTGACATGTGTATGACCACTTACCTCCTCTGTAAACATTATGCCGGTAAATATCCAGTTTACACAGTTAAACAGTTTTGTTTCGCGGCCGATGATGATGCTCGTTTGTGTGTACGAGCACGTATCTCGAGCATGTGAGGGAGAGCGAGCAACAGGTTACTGGTGCTGTTCGCCTAACGGCCATGCGGTATCGCTACAAACGCAGTATTTTTGAAAGTTACATATAGCCCCTTTAAGATAGATAGAAAGCTTTATGGTAATATTCTCAGATTCAGATAACTTCCACTGGGAGTCATCAAGTTCAGTCTAAAATATTTTGAAACATGCGTCTGTGTTTGCAGAGGAAGTCGCCGGGCTACAGTGCATGAAGAGGATCTTGGGGAAAGTGCAGGAAATGAGGGAACAGAGAAGTTCTCTGGAGAAACAGCTCCGCGACCTGATCCAGCAGGACGACATCACCTCTACCCTGGTCACCACGGAGAGGGCCGACATGAAGGTATGACGCTTCACATGGCCAGTCCACATAGATCATCCCATCTTGACATCAAGTATTTAATCAGAATAAAACCACTTTGACGTTTGTAGAGTTCTCCTACTAGTCTCATCTTCCGTAAATATAAAAAAAGAAGCTGCTTCTTCCTGTTGACATAAACAAAAAATGTCATACAATTTGTGAGAGATTGTTAAAGGAAGAATGTGCAAAATGTTCCACATAAATAAATCAGAGATGAAGTCCATCCTGTGTAAATGTGTCTCTGAGTCCTGACTGTCTACAATGAGTGAGAAGCTCGAGTCCCGCTGGCTGTGTTGTTGTCAGAGCCGTGTTTACATGGACGGGACGGCCGGCTCTTCCCCTTGTGTATAAAAGCTGTTTTAGTCAAGATCTAGAGAAAAGAAGAACATTCTCACTGATTATTTGGATGTTAGTAAGAGTTTTTAAGATCACGCTCATTCTGTGTCAGTTTACATGCAATGTGAAGCTAACTAAAGAGCGCTAACATTAGCATGCTAACACAACAATGCAGGACACAGGTGATTGCAGCTCGAGTAAGTACAATTTTGTCCGCCGCTTGCAATTCAGGGTGCTTAATTATGGTGCCCTTCATTTGATTACCCCTTCATGCGGATTTGGGGGTAGGGGGTTGGAGGTGTGTCGCTGGAGGAGAGCGGAGGCTTCCGAATGGAGGAGGTGTTGCCAAACATTAGTTTGTTTTGGATTAATGCTGGAGCTTAAGGGCGACATCTACTGGATCAAAAAGTCATTTTGCACATTCTTCCTCTAAGAGTTTCACTGGAGTAAGATCCTGTTGAAACAGAAGTCACACAAGTATTTGTGTCCATGTGAACATATCTAATGATTAATCTTTCTTAAGTTCTAGTTTGTGTTTGCAAAAATTATACATGTGCCACCTCCAACAAACTCTGTGTCCTTTCAGCAAATATTTGAGGAGCAGCTGAAGAAGTACGAGCAGGTGAAGGTGTATATTGATCAGAACCTGGCAGCTCAGGAGAACATCCTGAAGGCGCTGACCGAGGCAAACGTCCAGTACGCCTCAGTGCGTAAGGGCTTGAGCCAGACTGAGCAACAGTGGAACGGCACCGTCCAGGGACTGGTGGGCTCCTATGAAGCCTACGAGGACCTGATGAAAAAGTCCCAAGAGGGGAAGGAGTTCTACGAGGACCTCGAGGCCAAAGCATCTCGTCTTCTGGAGAAAGCTAAGACCTTATGTCAGACCAGAGCAGAGGACAGGAAGCCCATCCTGGAAAAGTAAGACCAAAGATTAAATACACAAAAGTTAAAGAGTTTTAGAATTGTGTCTGACGAGTTAGCTAGCTTCTTTCCTACTATCGTTTCCATCCATTCAAATCTCCTCACCAGGCAGGTACTTTGAAGGGAAAGACAGGCATTTTTAGTTCATGCAGATGTTTCCTTGTGTAACGAGTTCGGTATACATTTTTAAAACAGACCGAAGACAGAGTTGCTTCTGTGAGTCCATAGAATGCCATTTTTTGTTGTTGATTGGGCATATGATGTCCTCACATATCAACTGCAGACCTCTGAATTAAAAAGGAATGTTACATCAAATATGGTATCGTTCATGTGATAGGACAGTGGATAGAGTAGGAAACCAAGAAAGAGCGTGGGGAATGGCATGCGGGGAAGGAACCACAGGCCGGGAGATGAAACCCAGGCTGACCGCCCCAGAGGACCACCGCCTCTCGACATGGGGCTTGACCCAACCGCTAGGCTATCTGCGCCCCACCTTAGCGTCTTCTGTGGTTCCTTATATACCATGACTGCTCTGCCACTTAGTCGAAATGTCTAAATACATTTATGTATTTTTAATTTAAAATTTGGACTATACAACTTTATCTCTCAATGTCAAACGTCTTATTACAAGATACCTTAATGAGGCGCCAGATTTGCAGTTATGTAATTTTTCAGAGGCTATACTTCATTGCAGTGGCCGTGGGTTTGAATCCGTGCTCGCCCATTTGCTGCATGTCATCCCCTTCTCTCTCCTCACACCATTTCCTGTCTCTCCTCTCCTATCCAATAAAGGCAAACGTGGCTCAAATATATAATTTTAAGAAAAATAAACCTCAGTGTAATATTGGGCTGTGATTGTCTCCTCCTCAGAGAGACGCAGAAGAAGCCACCTGCACGGCCTACAGCAGCTAAACCCTCCTTGCATACTAAGGCCCCTGATGTCGACTCTGCCTGCTCCAGTCTGGACGACCCCGAGTTGGCCCAGCTTAGTGCAGCCATCTTGGCCTTGGGAGGTGACCTACCTGAGGAGCTCCTCAGCCTCCCTCCTGACATGTCTTCCCTCCCCAACACTGCACTTCGTATGCCTGGTCCAGAGGCCTACATCCCTCCTGGTGCTAATTTGGGCGGCAGCAGCTCACTGCCTTGGCCTGGTGCTCCAGCTGCTGGTCATCCTCGCTTCCCTGCCAACCTGCCTCCTCCAGAACTCCTGGCAAGGATAGCTCAGTTTCCTACTTCTGGAGCTCTGCCCCGTGGACCCCTCCCTCAAATGAATCCACAAATGCCTCCACATATGCCAACCCAAGCAGCAGTGCCGGGTTATCGACAACCACATCCACAAGTCCCCCAACCTGGTCCTGTTGCTCCTGCTCCAGTCCGACCGTCCACCACAACTGTGGATAGCATCCAGGCCCCAATCCCCAGCTACGCCCCCACTCAACACCACCCTGTCCAACCTGTTGCCTCAACTGGCTACGCCCTACCCCCACAGATGGGGGCTTACCCACAGTTTATACCCCAACCAGGAATGACCATGCATGGCCAAGCCCAAGCTCTGCGTCCCAACCACAGCAGCAGAAGCAGCCACAGCAGCACTACCCTCAGCCCATTGGACAGCCACTGCCTCAGGGCTACCAGCCTGGACCAAGGGGCCCTCCCTGGCCCCCACCCTCCTCTCCAGAACCAGCAAGCATACTCACATGGATATATGCCCCCTCAGCCTGGTGTTCCTCCTCAGTACCAGCAAGTATTTCCAGGTCAGCTGCAGCCTCATCAGCACAACGGTTATCAGCCCCGGCCCCAGATACCCCAAGGCTACCAGACACCCCACTGCTATGTACCCCAGCAGCCCCCTCGGATGATGCCAGGCTCTATGCCAACACAACCTCAGGTCCAGATGCCGCCTCAAACTGGGCATCCACAAATACCCCCAACTTCTCAGCAAGCACCTCCTGTATCTCAACCCTACCTGCCCCATCCTAACCAACAAATGCCACCCAGACTCCCAAATCAACACATGATGCCCCATCAGCAACACATTACAATGCCCCCCAATGCCCAACAGATTCCACCTCACACACAGGTACAGATGCCAGGAGGTCCCAGAGCACAAATGCCCCCGACAAGTCAGCAAATGCCCCCAGCCTCTCAAAACTATATGGCCCCTACAAGTCAGCAAATGCCCCCAGTCTCTCAGAACTATTTGCCCCCCACCATCCACCCTTCCATGCACCCACAGATGCCTCCTGCTTCACAACCTCATATGGTCCCTGGCGCTCAGGTCCACCTGCCAAGGGGCCCTCTGCCTCAGATGCCTCCAGGTGGAATGCCACCACATCACCCACACCCTGGACAGCCTCCTGTACCACACATGCCCCAGCAGCCCATGCGGATGCCCAGCCAACCACAGGCTCAGCCCCCTCATTCAGGGGGAGTATGCTACCCAGGGGCTCCAATGATGCCTCAACAGCCTCTGGCACCACAACCTGCAGCCCCCCAAAAACCTCAGGCTCCTCCTCCAATGACCCATCCACAGCCCTCTACCATGTACCCTTCAGGTCCAGGAGCTAATGTACCTCCAAGTACCCCACTACAGCCCACTGCCATGGCCCCACATGGGCCACATGTTCCCCCTGCCCAGCACATGATCCAGCCCTCTCCTGGACCTCCCGTGACCCAACCACCAAACCCTGTTCCTCCTTCCCCTTCACCTTCTCCCTCCCCATCTCCCTCTCCTGGTCCTGCCTCTCTGGTTCTGAACCCCCAGCAGAGACCCACACCAGCCCCCACCTCGGGAAGCAAAGCTCCTCCCACTCTTCCCTCCCCCTCGGCCGTCTCTCCCTCCACATCGCTGTTTCAGCGCCAGAACTCAAGCACAGATGACCTCCTCTCTTCGAGCCCTGAGAGCATACCAGGAGGCACCAAGGCCCCCACAAATGTCCTCCAACCCACCAAAGCCGACCCGCAGGATGGAGAGCGTCGGAGGAGGAGCTCACAGGGAGTTCTTCTGATCCAGGGTGACCCATATCAAGCCCCAGAGCGTGTCGCTCGCCTTCATGGTGAACTGGAACGTTATAGGGCCCGGGTAGATTCCCTGGAGCACCCCTCAGAGAGTGAGGGTGGGCTATCTGTGTTGGACGCTCGTTGGAAAGAGCTACAAGACCAGCAGGAGAAGGATGCCCGCCAACTCTCCATCGCTATCGCCCGCTGCTACACAATGAAGAACCGTCACCAGGATGTCATGCCCTATGATATTAACCGTGTGGTTCTGCAGTCAGGAAAAGACGACTACATCAACGCCAGCTATGTGGAGGACTTGTCTCCGTACTGTCCACGCCTTATTGCCACGCAGGCGCCGCTCACAGGCACAGCGGCTGACTTCTGGCTGATGGTTTACGAGCAGAAGGTGTCGCTGATCGTCATGTTGGTTTCAGAGCAAGAGCTAGAAAAGGTACACAATGTCATTTTTACTGTTGATGACATTTAAGTGAATTAAATTTGTTTTGACGATAGATGAGAATAATTTTACACAGAAACAAATTTACATTATACTTTATATTTCTGGAACATTTGATTGTAAAAAACAAGCATGTCCTTACATAAACGATTATTCATCATTTTAAGGGTTTATCATCGGTTTCACCTTTCTTTGTTTCTTATCGGTACTTAAAGAGACCAACAGCGTTCTGTTTTCACCATCTCTCACCATTCACCACTATGTTTTTCCGTCTCTCCCAGGGAAAGGTTGTGCGCTACTTCCCAACTGAGCGTGGGCAGCAGCTCGCTCAGGGACCAATCACGCTCAGCCTCACCACACAGAAGGCGACGCCGACACATGTGGAGCGCATGATCAGCCTGCAGTACCGTGACCAAAGTTTGAAACGCACTGTGGTCCATCTCCAGTCCACCTCCTGGCCCGAGCTGTGAGAACTTTCTCTTTTATTTAGAATGTCAAATATAGTTTGTGTTGAGTTTGTTTGTAATCTCACTAAGTGTGGTAACGTGGACTCCAGTATCCTGGTTATCGGTCCTGTCCCTGTTTGGATCGTATTCAGGATATGGCGTTTACATGCACAGAGTAAAACCTGGTTCTTCATATCCCTGTATACATGATCATTACTAATATTCTGATTTCTGACTGCTGCATCCTATTTGTGCAGGCGCCTGTGATGTTTATTTTACAACACAGACTGCGGAATTTTTAAAATCTGATGAATCAAGAGACCGTGTCACCTATTACGGGTTTAGCGCTATTAAATGCCAACATCGTGCTGCAGATATGGCATATCCAGGTCATTTCCAGCAATGGGAAAGACAAAATTTGTTTTTCTGGGGGCTCCAGAAGTAAGATGCACTCATTGCTGCCACCATGTTTGTTTTGCTATTACATCACTTGGGTGCTGAGGCTGCACCTGTGCAGGTAGTCACTAGCTGTAAGCAGTAAGGCGTAAACATGATGCCACAGGAACCCGTTTTCTTTCAGAGTTCTCCAGATAGCAAAATCAGATTTCTGATGATGAGGAACTGCTCCGGGTTTGTTTTTGGGCTTTTTGAACCTTTATTTAAGAGACAGGATAGTGGATAGAGTCAGAAATCAGGGCGAAAGAGAGAGTAGGGAACAACTTGCGGGAAAGGATCCACAGGTCATATTGAACCCGGGCCACCTGCTTGGGGGACTAGAGCCGCCGTGCATGGAGCGTGCACCCCTAACCACTACTCTACCGGCGCCCCATCCGAATGTACTCTTTAAGTTTTTCCATTTCCTCCTATTTCTTCATCAGGGGTCTTCCTGACAGTAAGAGCAACCTGCTGCGCTTCATCCAGGAGGTTCATGGACACTACCTCCACCAGAGGCCCTTACACACACCTGTTGTTGTGCACTGCAGGTGAGAGGGAATAAAAAAAAAAAATACTTTGAATATGATTAAGAATTAAATCTTTTAGTCAAAGCACTTTAAACCAATCACATGCACATGCTGCTGCAGACGAAAACACTACATCACTGAATAGTACGATCGATAGTGGTATGAAGGAGGCGGTTTCGATTAGAGCCAAAGTGTTCCTAATGAGCCTGTCTACTCTCTGTCTCAGCTCGGGTGTGGGACGCACCGGCGCCTTCTGTCTGCTGTACGCTGCACTGCAGGAGCTGGAAGCAGGCAACGGGATCCCCGACCTCCCACTGCTGGTGAAGAAGATGAGACAACAGAGGAAGAACATGCTGCAGGAGAAGGTCAGACAAATCTGATGATGATGCGTGCGTTTTTAATTTGTAAGATAGGTAGGCAGGGTTGTACAGAAGAAAGTAAAAAGGGAATCTGATCTTTATCGTTGGTTCCCAGCCTGCGGTCTGGGCCCCTCTTTGGGTGGCACGAGGCTGTCTGTTCTGATAACACAAAAGATAGTTTATATGAAGGTCTTCAATATGAATGTGTAAATAGGTTATTCATTACATACAAAGTTCAATGTTTTCACATACTCTTGTCTGTCTCTCTCTCTCCAGCTTCACCTGAAGTTCTGCTATGAAGCTGTGTTGAAGCACGCTGAGCATGTCCTCCAGAGACACGGCATCACTACCGCCACCTGCAGCAAGAACGCTGCCTCTGCATCCACAAAGGTTTGTCTTCAGACGACCACACACACACACACACACACACACACAGAGCTGGTGCAGCAAGCCACTGTTTTATTTTTTTTTAAATTGGAAATGTCTCTCTCTTCCTCTCTGCAGCCTTACTCGAGACAGGAGTCCCAGCAGGACCTCGTCCTCGGGGGGGACATGCCCATCAGCTCCATCCAGGCCACGATCGCCAAGCTCAGCATCCGCCCCCCCAGCGCCACAGACCCTGCAATGGATGCCCCCTTTGGCATGGATGAGCAGGTCGTCGCTTCCTTACCCGACCCGTACTCGTCGAGTGATGTTCAGCCGCTCCAGGAGCCCTCCCCTCTCTCAGAGCCGCTGCCCCCCTGCTCCTTCAGTCCTCCTCTCACTTCCCCGACTCAATCTCCACCCCCCACCAAACGGCCTGGATGCTGCCTCCCCCTGCACGCCACCAGCCATTCACGAGCCCCTCCCAGAGGGGACTCCCAGCCTGAGCCCGCCTCCTCCTGCTTCCGGTCCGGCTCCGTCCTCCCTGGAGCTGCTGGCCTCCCTCACGCCCGAGAACTTCTCCATGGAGGGAGGCGGGAAGGGGAAGCAGCGGGTGACCAAGCAGAGCTTCCTGCAGCCGGCCGAGGGTCAGGGTCTGCACGGGACTCGAGAGGAGGAAGGGGACGACCCGCTCAGCAGCCTGGACCCCCTGTGGAGCCTCAACAAGACCTGAGAGGAGTCCACAAACCGTTGCTTTTCTCTCAGCTCTCTCTAATCCTGCTTTTAAGAAGAAAAAAAACATTTAGCCGTGTTTATTTCCAAGACGTGCCTGGTGGCAGACAGTAGGGTTCCAGTTTTGAAGTTAGGTGTATTCCTTCTGGCTACGGGGCCTGAAACACACTCGCGTCTTCTTCCATCACTGGGGGCTTCTGGGACCAGATCACTATGCACTCGTCTGTGTTCCTTCATTCCTTCTGTCGCTTTTTGCTGCTTTTTATTTTCAACTGTCTGTGATATATGAATGTTCTGCACTTCAGCCAGAGCTGGGCCCCCGAAATGAAGGAAAAACTCCCAGCATGCACTCCACTTTTGCGGCCTCCCTTTTTCGCAGGTGGTCGTCACCAGGGTTTGTTTGGACCGGATCTCAAACTCCACCTTGAAGTCTAAAACTGAACGCTCACGGACTTTAAGGGCGTCGGACGTTCAGTGTGTGAGGGATTTTAGATGGTACAAGAAAGGATCACTTTTTCTGACATGGCCCCTGGCTTAGAGGATGAAACAGATTTGTGCGCCCCCCCCAAACCCAAACTAAAAGGTAACTTAAAGGGACAGGCCATTTTAAAATATCATCAAGGTCATGAACGTTTATTTCCTCATTAAGTTCAGAAGCATAAGCATTTATTGCCCCTTTTCTAATCACACTAATCACATCTATTTCAAACACATTAGAGTATCTCAAAGATTTTATATTTATCTTCTTTCTTTTTTTACTTCACAAAGTAACACAACCGAGGAGCAACATTTAACTGACTTTTCTTTGAGGTTCAAAGGTCAAAACGTAGAACTCACTCAAAGATGTTCGTCCACCGTCACAATTTAAAGTCACACTGAAATACAGAGAGAGCTGCAAGCAGAAGAAATAGTTACATTTAAACTGAAGTTCTGCCTCTGATGTGGCAAAATAAGTAGCCCTAAGGTGACCATTCAGATTTTGGGGGGCCCAAGCCACCCATTCAGCAAGATTCACCCATTCTGTGCCCCTGCACAGGCTGCATGCATCTGCCCCTTTCATGTCACTATGCCCCCCCCCTCTTCCTCTCCCAGTTTTAGAAGCACTGGACTAATGGGACACTATCATGACGTCACACATGTTGCCTGGTAACAAGATGCACCAAAAAATTATAAAAAAAGCCCTTCTCCAGTATTTATTATATATTCTGTAAAATCCACTTCAACATGTTCCTCTAACACTAATATGTGTCCCGAGTCTGTCTTCAAACCCCCCAATGATGAGAAAAGTCAATCCTCTCCGTCTCTTGCCTGCTCCACTTTTCAGAAAATGTGTGTTCAAACAGGCCGTTTGGAGAGTTTCCCTTCATGACATCACAAAGCGCAGTAGCCCCTCCCCCAGGTGGGTGACACTCCCACAGCTAGGTGTTTGTTCTGCCCTCTGAGTCTGCCTTCTCACTGTAAACAATAGGACATGGGAGCGAGAAAGCACCGAGCACAGCCAAGCCCTTCCAGAAAGGGGGCGTGGTCAAACACAAGGGGGCTTGCCGATTGCGTCTTTAATGAACTCCAGGTATCAGAGCCCTCACACGCCAGACGATCCGATCCCGTTGTGGGACAGTGCCAAGCCTCAAAGTCCGTGAGTCGGTCAGTGTGGAGTTTAAGATTCAGTCGTTGTGTTTGAACTGTCGTAATGGATGCACGGCCCTGAGGAGCAGAGTGGGAGGAGCTTATTCTTAAGGAGACAAACCCCCTTCAGCTCAAATCAGCGCGTGTAGTACAGTCAGCCTGTAACACAGAGCAGCATCGAATCAGCACGTCTCTACAAGTTGATTAAGTTTTCTCATCCTGTAACACTGTAAATATCTTAAATAAATAAAAGACTATTAAAAAATGCACTAATCATTCATCATTATTGTATAAAAATGATTAAATAAATCCAGTAGACAGAAACCTGCTGTGGTATCAAAGCCTCTTTATTTGAAAATTAGTAAAAAGTCTGTGTGTTACAAAACTGAATAAGTTACCTCCGTTACTACAGCCTGCGTAGATTGTAGGCAGCCAATGAGGAGGAGGAAAGAGAGGGGGGAGGAGCTAACTCTGGGATTGACTATTACAGCTCATATTATCTTGACGGCTGATGTAAAGTAGGAGAAATCTTCAGGCAGCTTGCGAGACAATCAGTACTGGACCTCTTGGAGTTTCATGTCAAGAGTCCGGCCTTTGTTGTTGAAATGTTAACGTCTTTAACGACTAAAAAGGATAAAAGAATCTGTAGCTGCATCCACAAGCTGCCGAGACGATGCGCTGATGGCTGTGTGAGTGGAAGCAGCAGGATCCTGAAGGTGTGTTTAAAGCTACAGAGAGGATTCATAGAGTGACAGAACGGTGTGATATGAGTTTGTGTACAAGGCCAAAAAATGAAACAAACGCTAAGACTCCATTTCGAAATTTTTCTCTCGTAAGACGAACAGTTAGACGTTTTTCCCTCTTCATGACGGAGACCCCGCATGATATCGACATCACTCTCCTGTCTGTTAAATATAAGTTAGCATGTGGTTAGCTTAGCTTAGCATAGCTTAGCACAAACACAGAACGCAAGGAAGTGGAGCTAACCTGTCTTTGTAAAACCAGCACATAATAACCCAGAACTCCTCTTGTGCGTCAGCTGCTCCGCCATGGAGGTCAGAGCTCTCAGAGAAGGACCTGAGACGTTCAAACTTTAATTCACAGTCCAAAGAAAGTTCTGAAGCAAATGAAAGTGTGTCGAATCGTGGCTCCTTAAGTGAACCATTTGCTTCAGAACTTTCTTTGGATTCTACTGAGATGTTCCAGTTTTTCTCAAATTTGATTCAATTAAATGTTCTGTATTGTCGGGTTGTCTCTGGATGTGTGCGCGTAAAATGGTTAAAGGTCATCACCATCGCTAATCGGCACCAGAATTACCGCTCTGTTTAAACGACTTTGGCCCCTCGATGCCGCTCAATTGTTGCGCTCACACTGCAATGCAGCCAGTCGCCACTAGATGGGGCTGTCACCACAGACCAAGATTATAAGGTTCGTTTTTGATTTTTCATTAGTTTGTACTTGTTTTAGACAAACTCCTGCGCACTGTCCAAGTTACACAAATCAGTTGCGGACTTATTTCTACAATTTTAGCTAAAGCAATCTCTCTTTCTTCTGCAGCAGCTTGGGATAAAAATATGACTGAAGGCCGGCACTTTCTCTAAAGCTTTGGTCGTCTACGAGTCTGTTGATGCTGAAGTAACCTGAGGTTGATCGATCGATTTAAAACACGAGGTATGGAGTTAAACACTTTGACAACCTTACTGTGTAGTTTGTTTGCAGGTTTGCAATTGAACAAGCTGTGAGACGTGAACTTAACAGTTGTACAATTTCAGATAGTCCTCTCTCTGATTTTGCGATACTGTTTTTATTTTTTAAATCGCTGAACTTGCAGAGGTTGATCGATCGATTTAAAACACGAGGTGGAAAACTCAAACATTTCAACAACCTTTCTGGATCGTCTTGTTTGTTACATTTGAGCAGATTGTCGTCAACACTCATGACCTTAACAGCTGCTGGTGGTCGTTTTTTGCCACCGTTGTACAAAGCCAGGGTAGCTACTCTCTCTCGTTTAGCTCGTCACCCCTGTTAGCTTGTCTCAAACCAAACAGGGTGATATCAATCCTCTCATTAGAACTCTCCACCATGAAGTTTAAAACGCTTTAAGCATATTTCCCAAAATGTCCACCTTTTCTAGAAAACAGAAGTAAAAAAAACAATCTAAAAACTACACATTTCCCCATTTCTAAAACGTTAAACTACCGTTAACAACAAAAAAACACAAAGCTAATAAATTAACAGGTTATGTTGCCAAGGCGACCACCAGTCTGGTTCCTATGGGATGCATCGACAGTGTTTGTTTACGCGTCTCTTCAGGTTACATCTGATCTTCAGCTGTTTGTTTTGTGCACATCAGGAACTTGTTTGTCTCTGCGTCCCGTTGAACCAGACTGGGTGACCTTCAACCTCGACAAGTCTGCAGTGTGCGTGTTTACTAGCGCTGCCTGCAGGGGTGAAATTAGTTTGCAAGTCTGCAGACATCACGTCCATAATGTCCTGTGAGCGAGCAGATGTTTGTAAAAAAAAAAAAAAAAAAAGTGCCTCACGTGCACGAGCTGTGCGTCAGAGAGGGTTAGTAGTGCATTGAATTAGTGTTGCCATGCGATACTGTTGTAGTTTTTTTTTTTTTTTTTTCACAGATTTGTTGGTCACACCTTTGGGGACTACATTCAGGTGAAAGCTTCAGTAGACGCTGGAGGAAATACATTCTGCATGATGTTGGTGTGAGTCTTAAACCTGCAGGACTTAATTCTTCCAGCTGGTGTATGAAGTGAATGGCCGACGTTCAGGCATTTCTTCTATTTTACTTTTCATTTATTTTCTATTTTTTACGTTAATTTACTGTAATTAATCATTTTTACATTATCTCTAACTGGTTAATAAACTGACTGAGTGGGTGAGATTAGCTACACTTTCTGATTACCGTAAAACTCTATTGGTAGCCCTCGCTTTGACTTCAGTGCATAAAATGACCCTCGCTTTATTTGGATTTAAGGCCCCGAGTCTAGCTGGCGTTTTTCTGGGCAGAAAAGCGCTGGCAGAGCACTTACAGGAAGTGTTTGTGCGCTGAGAAATAAAGTGCTGCACGTCTGTCCAGTCTCTATGGAGGACATATGTGCAGCACTTTTTTCTCAGTGCACAAATGCTTTGTGCTAGCGCTTTTGCTTTTCTGCCTGGAAAAAACGCCAGGTGGACATGAAGCCTAAGACAGCTCATCCATACCAACCGGCTGCTCTGTGAGGGAGAGCGAGACGTCTTGTTTATATATTTAAGATGCAAAATCTAATCAACACTGAATGCATAAACAGGAGCCTTGAATAGAGCTGCCTTTATTTGTCAAAACGTGCAGCAGCACCAGGCTAGTTAAAATGACCGGGCCTTAAATTAAGATGAGCTTCTATTTGAAGTTTTACGGTAATTTAACCAGCTGTGAAGAACCCGTCAGTCAGCGAGAATTCTGCTAAACGTGTCTGAGTAAACAAAACGGAGCCTTCTGTATCTTTAATCGGAACCCTCAGTTTACAAACCGTCGCCCTGAGTTCATCATCTGTGCCTGCTGATTTGTAAGTTCTTCATTACTTCTGAGATAAAAAAGGATGGTCCATTTCCATGGCAACCGTATCCGCCCAATAAGTCAACATGATCTGGATTTAAAGGCTGGACTTAATGCTATATTGCATGATTGCTTTGGACTTGGATCGCATTAAATCTAACCTTAGTGTCGGATCGATTGGACTTGCGTTGTGGATGCTGTTGCCGTAGAAACAATCCATTCTACAGACATTGTGTTTTTTTTACAGATCTGTTCCCACAGTTTATGAAACCATCCCCACAAACCACAAATCAGCGAGCACAGATCACGAACCTCTGGGCATTCCTGGACCGTTGCCACGGCGACTGCATCGACTGAGTAAGTCCTATTTATCTGGAATTGATTGTAGATTGAATGTCTTACAGCAGTTTGTGTTGGACTCGAATGAAAAAGCACGTCAACGTCTCTCAGTGCATGTGACACAGTGCATGAGCGTGATCCATGTGCGTGTTTCTTAGCGTGTACGAGCAGAGATCTAAACGTAGGTGATTCTTTTCTTGCGTTCCCTGTCTCTCTCTCTTTTTTTTTTTTTTTTTTTAAATGACTTGCTGCAGGAAAAGTTCTGCAGGTTTTCAGACCAACTTCCGTGAAGTGTACACCGACAGCACGCCGCTGAGCAGAGGTGAACTGCGAGCGCCACTGCGTGATCGTAGCGGGTTTTCTTTGTGGCCTAAACAATGAAAACAGTGTGAAGCCGAGACATCTTCAGTAAACAGTGATTTCAACAAAAGAATCTCTAAAGGGCACGATATGTGTGAAAACAAAAAGCAGTCATTGTAAACATGACGTCAGGATGATGGTGGATCATAAGGGGGGGGGGGCTGCAGGGGCCCCTCGTACAGCATCAGTAACCCCAGAACCAGAGGCCTGAGGGCCCCCGACTCCACAACAACAAACACTTCAACATTTCCAGTTCAGTAAAACAAAAAAGGTCATTTTATAACCCCGACCTGTCATCACCACCGTCCAATGAAATCATCATGTCGTATTTAAGAGGCGGGATTAGAAATTCATAAACAAACCGTTATTCCAAAAAAATGTATCGCTAATAAATAATAGATTTATACATGTAAAAAAAAACACAGCCCCCTCCGGAGGTTTACATCGTACAGTAATCATCTGGTCTCACACTCACACGCTTCACATGTAACCACGCAGGTTGTTTTGTTCTCAGCAGGGTTTCGCCATTAAAAAAAAAAGAGCGCCTCGATTCATTCACACACAAAACTGCGCAGCTAGTCCCGACACACCATCGAGCGTAAGAGGCAGCAGGAATATTTTAAAAAAAAAATTAAAAAAGAGACATTTTTATCTTCCTCTCAGGGCGGGCGGGGGTCACAGTGAAGCCCCGCCCGTGTCAGCAGCATAGAGGGCAGCGCCACGAGACAGAACGCACACACAAGCAAAAAGCACAAACTGGTGACTGCTGGATCCTCTGTCAGCGAGAAACATCCAGATTATCTTGGAATAATTGACCCTCTTAATTGTCATTTGCGGCGGCCATCTCCATCCGATAAATGTAGCAGGTAGTCCTCGGCTCGTCTTCTGCGACGTGCGTCCACGCTCGTACTCCAAACACCTTGAAAGACGCTTGTGTTTCCGTTGAATGCCAGAAAACAAAATCAAGTCAAAAGAGGAAAGAGGAAGTTCAGAGCGCTCCAGTGGCGCCCGTCTCAGTCTAGTTTCTCCAGCACTGACGGCACGTACACCAGGCTGAGCTCGCTGCCGAAGTCGCAGACGATGGCGGCGTTGTCGAGCACGAGGAGCTGCCGGACGCCCTGCCCGTCGCTGCTCTGACCCAGGTAACCGTCTGCAGCAGATCGCCGAAGTTCAGGTCCCAGAAGGAGACGCAGCCCTGACCCCCCGTCACCAGGAGAGACTCGGAGATCACGCCCAGACTGGCGCCGCAGCCCGCTTCCTGAAAGGGGAGAGACGTAAACTCATCATTATTGATGATGATGATGATGATGGTAATGACGATGGTTTTTGTTTGATAACAAAGACTTATAAGATGGTTTCTATACTGATTAGAGCTCTCAAGAACTGCTGTCAATGTTGTCTTTGCCTCTGGTCACTTCCTGTCAGCACCTGTGTGTCCAATCAGACTCAAAGCTGATCGTTTGCTCTTACTGACATTGTTCCCTTTTTTCTAGATCCTTGCTTGTGTTGTACTTACTCTCTGATGTACGTCGCTTTGGATAAAAGCGTCTGCTAAGTGAATTGTAGAATATTCATATCAACAACAAGTCTACCTGCTGTATGGAGTAGAGTTTGATCCCTGTGCTGCGGTCCCAGATACAGATGAGGTCGTCCAGTCCCGAGCTGATGACGCAGGAGGTGGTGCAGACCAGTGAGGTGACGTCGCCGCGGTGACCGTAAACATGGCTGACACGGCTCCCTGTGAGGACATCCCACAGGCAGATGGCGCCGTCCTGCCCTCCACTCGCCAGAACCATTGTCTGAAGAGTCACAAGGAGACATATTCACTCTTATTTTTGATGTGCAGAAGATCTGATAATGGTGGATAATTGGTAACCAGCCGATATGACTCCACCCCCTTTTTTCCACTGCTTTACTTTCTTAAAGGTCACATATAACACAAAACACACTGTTTAGAAAATGTGTGCTCAAACAGGCCGCTCTTCATGACCTCACAAAGGGCAGTAACCCCTCCCCCAGGTGGGTGACACTCCCACAGCTAGGTGTTTGTTCTGCCCTCTGAGTCTGCCTTCTCACCGTAAACAATAGGACATGGAGCGAGAAAGCCAGCGAGAGGGCGTGGTCAGACACAGCTCATTTACATTTAAAGGTACAGACACAGAAACAGCCTGTTCTGAGCAGGGCTGAAATAGAGAGGTTTATAGGCATGATCAAATACAGGATCAGAGTGGATTAAGAACAAGAAACTTCACATGTTTTGAGAAGGTCTGAGACTTATTTACACTGGTTGAAGAGGAGGAGAATATGTGACCTTTAAACTAACATGTTCTTGGTTGTTTCAAATTGCTTGTATGACAAATAACCCAAAAAACAAGAGCTCTAATACTGCTCTTTACACATGTTGTATTCTATTTCTGAGAGCTGGGGGTAAGGGTGTATGTCTTTTAAGTAATGCAGTTCTGTATTACTTTGTATTTGTGGCAGGACCTCCTTGACAATAAGATGCCGTGTCTCCAGGTATTCCTTGAATAAATTCGAATTCAGTGACAGTCGAGGTTATTTGTCGAGATGGAAGAGAGGGTGTTGATGTGCTGACCTGGTCGATGTATATGGCTGTGATCCCTCCAGAGTGACCCTGCAGGGTGAAGAGACAACACGAGTCCTCCAGACGATAAATCTGAAAATACACAAAAGAAAGATAATTTTTTAGGGTTCAAAACGTATAACACAGTTTGTCTATTAATGTGTCAAATCAATGAGTGTGTTCATGTGGACTTGAGTCTCCAAGTTATGAGTCTGATTCTGGTTTTGATCATGGATGGGAAAAGCCACTGTCCAAGTGGGCGCCCAGGTTCAAATCAGCTCCTTTCCTGCTCTATCCACTGTCTTATCTACATAAAGTGGGGACACAATATATTTAAAATGTATCTTCTCTTACCCGGACGGTGTGGTCCTGGCTGCCGGTGACGACCCTCCCGGCGGCGCTCGCAGCACCGTGATCGGCTTGTGGTGGGCGCACTGAACGGAGCGCGTGAGCTGGCAGCTGATCACGTCCTCGCTGCTGTAACAGGGAGAGGGAGGCACGCTGCCTCGCAGAGGAGCACCTGCAGGAGGAGAGGACATTTTAAGTAGGGGTGCAAAAATAAATGAAAAATCACTTTCAAACTAACAGATTTAATTCTCAATAATTAGTTGGTTATGTCTTCTTTCTTGTTTCATGCTTTTCACTGTTAGAACATTATTTCCTGCAGCTGAGTTGCTGAGGAGTGAGTCATCTCTCATCCTTACTATCTCTGCTGAGAGTTGTGTTTGCATAAACAGCAACCTGGGAACGAAAACACAACAAAGACAAATGGCAGCTGCCGATGCAACACCCTCAGGTGGAGGTGAGGTAGAGTGCCAGTACTCGCTATGCTACCATTTGTGGGCTGGTTGGCATGACCTTTAAGTGTGTTTGATATGTTTACTGACTGTTTAAAACATGTTTAGCATAACGTGTTCTTCACTGAAGCTTTGGTATTTGTTCCTTCATGTTGTCTCCCTATAAATGTGTCTTTACTTCAGGGGTCGTATCCTTGAACTAACCAAATAGTCGTTGCAGTTGCAGCCCGAATGTTAAAATCCTGTTTTTGCTTTCTTTCTTTTAGTTTAACTTGAATTGTCTCAGTTTATATCGACGTTGCAATTTTGATGCCCTCCAGCAGCTCTAAAGATTAGCGTTTTTCCCTCTTGCAGAGTTAAGGAAATTGATTTCTAGCCACTTCGAAATTGTAAGTGTTTTAATTGATCTCAGTTGTTTGTGTAATTGATTTTAAGTGTTTCTTGTTGTTTCTTGTTTTTAATTTTGATGGCATTAGAAACGAGGAAACCTCGCGCGCACACACACACACACACACACACACACACACACACACACACACACACACACACACACACACACACACACACACACACACACACACACACACACACACACACACACACACACACACACACACACACACACACACACACACACACACACACACACACACACACACACACACACACGATGAGGTGTTGGCGAGCCTCACCTCTGTACTGCAGCAGACACAGAGGTTTGTTTATCTCCACGGTGAAGAAATCCAGAGAGCCGTTCAGGCGGGCCGCTACGATTCTGAGGAGGAAGAGGAAAACAAAAAGGCTTCAGATTAAATAAAGTTTATCTTAACTTCATTTACTGTTTACTGACATTTTTCAGTGGAAAGAAAGAATGAGCTTGTGACCGATGACTTAGTCGTATAGGATTCATATTATGTGTTAGCACATCTTAGTTTTTATTTGTGTTCATGAACAATGCAAGCTGGCTGACTTTTTATTTATTTAATGTTAACAGGTCAAAAAAAGACTAAATTAACCTTTGTGAGGTGAGAAAGGTTTGTGTGCAGCAACAGAAGTGTGCAAAGGCAGCATTTACACAAAGATTTACAGGAAATAAACAGAAACATGTTATTTCTCAGTAAACTGTCTCCATAAAAAGGGTCATGCAGGTCATGTTCAGCTGGTGTTAAAGAGCCAAAGCTCAAATATTTCAGTGTTACTCATAGAAACTGCCTTAATGACTGACTTTTGGTTAGAAAAGTACAAAAAAAAAAAAAACATTTCCTGATCTTTTACATGAGATAAAAGGTATCTTAAGGGGCTGTCATGAAACGTGGATTATTTTGTCTAAACGGTTGTAATATTTTTTTATTCCCCAAAATGAGCTCTTAGCGTCGCAGGAGAAGCTCTGTGTGTGTGTGTGTGTGTGTGTGTGTGTGTGTGTGTGTGTGTGTGTGTGTGTGTGTGTGTGTGTGTGTGTGTGTGTGTGTGTGTGTGTGTGTGTTTGTTTAACCTGTTGTTGAGGAAGGCCAGGGCCGTGATCCCGGAGACTCCGTCTTCATTACTGCAGCGTAACGATCCTTCGACGGCGTCCCACAACTGAAACAAGACAGGCGTTTTGGTTTTCAATCTGACATGTTCCATTATTCAGAGGACGTAGTAAAGATGCACCGATACGATTATGATGTCAGATGTTGGGACTCAAACAGCTAGATCGGGTTATCAGTGACAATGGGCTGATCTATGAGGCTGCTTTATTCCCTCCACTTCTATTCTGTCAGTGTGCAGGTAGGCCTGTGAATTTAGCTCGGTGGAGCCAACTTAGCATGGAGGCTAACAACAAATGCTAAGCAGTTTGGATGTATTCACGTTCGTTATGTTAACAACTTCTATGGCAGCTTGCGGTATCGCCACCGCTCATGTTTCGAGAGGCGGTGGTAGAACGGCGAGTTTAAGCAAACAAAGAAGGCAGACGGAAGGAAGTTAACAAAGTTGGAAAAAGCTGATGCTGCCTTACACAGAGAGGATTACAGGTCATTCATTAAACGCTTGTATCAGAAGAGTACCCTGTATCAGCTGATATCTAAAGCCAAGGTGTGGATCAGTGCATCGTTGAACGACCAATACTTGATGCTATAAGTAACAGATTTAACCCGACGTACCTCGAGTTTCCCGCTGCTCCTCCCGGCAGCGATCAGGTTTCCTCTCAGCTCCATGGCCCACACGGAGCTCTCCCAGTCTGCCTGCGGCCCTGAGGAGGGGGCTCTCTCTGGGGGTAAGGCCGCCGCGATGTCCCCTAAGCTGGGCCTCCTCTGCAGCTGAGCCCCTGTGGGCGGGGAGGAGGAGGCGGAGGAAGGAGACGTGTAGGCTGAGGGCGAGGGGGGCTCGTGCTCCATGTAGGCCCGCTCCACCAGACCGCCAAAGTCGAAGCCCGCCCTGGGTGGGGTGGAGAGGAGGTGGGAGGGGGGCTGGGAGGTGAAGTTGGTGTCGATGAGCGGGGTGAGGTCGGGCTGGTCGTTGAACAGAGTGGGTCTGATGGGCGCAGTTCGGCGTCTCAGTGGGTAGCCCTCCTCCTCCTCCGACAGGCCGTCAATGCCGACGTAGGAGCCGTGAGCTTCAGAGCACAAACACTCCGGCTCTGTGGCTCCGCCCACACCGTCCCAGCCGTCACGCTGCTCCCAGCAGCCACTGCTGCTGCTGCTCCGCCTCAGCCTGAGGGGGAGAAAAAGGTAAATCAACATCAAATATATCTACAGACTCATATCAACAAGTTTAACCACTTTGAGAGACAGAAGTGACACATTTGAAGTCACTGCAGATAAAAGGTGATATCTGTATTTAGGGCCTTTAAACACTAGGGATGTTTTTTTTTTTTTACACTGCAGCGACATTTAAATACAAACCCAATGACGTTCAGTGTTTTCAGCTCTCTATGTCTGATCACATAAACGCTCTCAGATTTAACTGTTTTTTGTCGCTGTGCTTGAAAAGTTCAGACATTCAAGTTCATCTGTTAGAGCAGCGCTGCGTTGTCAAAGTCAATTCTCCCTCACCATCCAATCAAATTAAAGACGGGGCGGGACTTCTGCATCGGCTCTGTCAACAACAATGGAGGTTGGGAAACTAATCTGACTCGTCTTTTCCAGCTGTAGAGCTGCTGCTGATACCAGGAGAACATTCATTAACATTGTTTTCATGTTTACTTTGTGACAAATTATATATTTTCAAGAATTAAAAAAAAAAGTATATTTTACAAATTAAAGTTAAAATATACCGCTCAATATACTTCTGTTTTTTGTTTTTTTCATCAAATAAAAAATGTGCCTCCAAAGTCCAGTGTCTTGGGCCGTTTGTAAAGTTTGTTTCATTTTTTAAAATGTGCAAATCATTTAGTCCGTATTTGATCACACCACTGACATGAATCTATTTAACGACATTCTCACCCCGGCTTCGGGATGACGGTCAAACAGTCTCCGGTCTGAGCATCCCAAACCCGAATCTGTCCAGCCAGACAACAGCTGGCCAGCAGCATCCCGTCACTAGCCAAACACTCGATATCCTTTAAAGAAACAACAAACAAACAAACAATTTCATCTTCCACAGCTTGAAAGTTTGGCTTCAGTTTTCTGTGATGTAGATGTGTGTGTGTGTGTTTTTCAAAGTGGGTTCACCCTCACCATGCTGTGGCCCCTCAGCAGCAGAGGGGAGATCTCGCTGACGGGTGGGGAGTAGCCGTAATCGTCGCAGGGCAGGTCGCCTCGGCGTCTGCGACCATGAGAAACGCCGTTCTGGCCGTAGTTCCGTGGGCAGAGAACCCGATAGAGACAGAAGAGCAGCAGAACCAGCAGGACGCCCGCCGCCAGACCCAGAGCCGCCACCCTGCATGAAGGGAGGAACAACGGAGGAGTTACATAAAAAACATTTTTCATTTACTTAGCTAGTGCTACATATTTTATTAAAGGACCAATCAGTAAGATGTGTAGAGAGTGAAATAATAAAGTGACCTTACTTTATGATCAGACATTAAGGAAACATGCTATGTTGAAGTGCTGGCTTCTCTGACAACAATGCAGCAGCCAGTATGTCCTCCTTCTAACTTTAGATTCTGGTCCTGAATGCTCTGGATTTGTTTGGACCAGAGAAGGTAGGCGGTTTTAAGGTACCCCCACACGCCCGTTTTGGACGCCCCTCGGTTAGCCAGATATGAGAGCAGTTATCAGGTCAAACCAACAGGTGTTGCAGCGATGGAAGCGGGCAAGAGAAGTGGTTCAGATAGAAGTGATTGTACCCGACCTAAAAAGCCTCTGCATGTTTCTAATAAGCTCCACGAGCAGAAACGTGCTCAAACTAGGATCAATGTTGGAGATGCTTTTGAAAAATGGAGAGAGGTTAGAACGCAGAAAGGTTTACAGACCGATGCAGAGCTGGCTAAACGCTGAAGCTTCAGTCAAACACAGCTCATTTACATATTTAAAGTTACAGACACAGAAACAGCCTGTTCTGAGCAGTGCTGAAATAGAGGGGTTTCTAGGCATGATCAAATACAGGATCAGAGTGGATTTAGAACAAGAAACTTCACACACATGTTTTGAGGAGCTCTGAAACTTATTTACACTGGTTGAAGAGGAGGAGGATATGTCACCTTTAATTCTTAATTCGATTTAAATGATTGGCATTTTAAGAAAACATAATAACAAGTTTTTAAATGAAATATCTTAAGCTGCAAAATCAATGCAACAAAGTGCTGACTCATCCTCCTGGGAAAGCATGACATGGCATCTCTGCCTGCTGTGGAATCTGGCATACCTGTGATGATGAAACCTGTCAGAGGAGTGAGATCCGCTCTGCCTGCTCTGTAGAACTCAAGCTCGCTACTCGCCACAAGCACGTTCAGACAATAGTACATACCATTTGGACACCTGAGAAACGTCGTGCCACTGGAATAACGCCATATAGTTCCTGTCCTGAATCCGCATCCGCATGAAACTACTTTATCTCAACCGTTCGGCCGGTACATCGTGTCCGTTTTCTGATTACAACAATCACACAGGCCCTCACTTATCAAACGTACGTAAGGCAGAAAAATGGGTGCACGGTCATTTCCACGCCAAGTTTGGCACTTATCAATTTGGACGTGAGCGGAGGGTACGCTCAAATCTCACACCAGGTCTCGCATGTTTTCAACTCTGTGTGGACTTGCAGGAGAATATTTAGATCATACTATAACAGTGCTTGTTAAGATGGATAGATAGAGGTTCACAGATTTACTGTTAGATAAGACATCTCAAATGTATTTTATATTACGCTCCACCTCTAATGATCTCTGCAGGCTACATTGCTTTTTAAATAATGTTGAGCAGCGCGAGCTGTCAGGTGATTTCTTTAGTTGTGTGTTTTATTTGATGAATTTTTGTTTGTTTAATCAATTTACTTTAACGATTAAAGATTAGAGAGGCTGCTTTTCGGTAAATACATGTTCATGCACGTTCATGCGCACAGGAATATCACTGCAGAAAATACTGAGACAAATTAAAACTGAAAAAGAGTTACTTCAAAAGGACATCAAAACTTCCAGAGATACTAAATACAACTTTTAGCCTCTGAAATATGAAATATTTAAGAATACAGAACATCAACATTAGATCATAACTAATCGGTATGTCCGGAGATTAAAATAATAAATACGCTGATGTGCCACATGCGTAATTGCGCACAGCAGACGCACTTAGGCCGGAGACTACATGTGACATAATAACGAATAAAGAAATCTGGAGGCTGTAACACGGAGTCAGGACCTTCTTTTAAGAGTTAAATTCTTATGTTTGGAAAGAAGGCTAATCGGATGAGAAGTGCACATTGCACAGCGTTTGATCAAACACTTTATTCATGTGATGCAGGACGTTTCAGGTTTCTCTTCTCTTTTTAAGTCTCATACATGGCGAGCTGCCAGTGCAGCCGACGTTATCCGACACTTGTGCAGGTTCGCCTGCACCACTTGTGCCTGATATTGAGGCTGAACCGATGAAGGAAGCCACTCGCTCCACGATCTGGGATAATTTCAGGTGAGGTACGGCTGGCGTCCTCCGGTCCGCTTCGGGAGCTGCTTCTTTTCAGACCCACAACACTAGGCTACATTGTAGCGATCGTATGGTCTGACCAGGTTTTTTAAACTAAAAGTATTTTAAAAAATTATATTATAGCCTATATTATGTACATTACATATCACGGATGTTATATATTTTTTATATTTAAAACCAACACTGTTGAGATTTCATGCAGGCGCATTTCTCTTTAATCCTACATTTCAGGCTGCCAAACAACACAAAGTTATTCCTCTTTTCTCCGTTATGGTGTCACTCAGGTCATATCTCGTTTCTCTTCTTTGCTGTATTAAGTATCTCCATGCCGTAAACTCTGGGGGCGGGGACGGCTAAACCGTGAATATATAGGGGCGTGGTATTTAAATGACGATCGTTTCCAGCCGCCACACTTATCAACACCCGGTCTTGCGTACGCTGTGATCAGCCAGAAACGCACGTTTCATAGGTCCCACGTGGACCCTGTCGTACGATGATTTCTACACCCAAATCTGCGCTGGTTTCTACACCAGTTTGATAAGTGAGGGCAACAGTGTCCACGAGCCCCAGTAAATAAGCACAACATCTTCTAAATCCTTTCTCGTGGTCTTAAATGTATGACTTGCTGCATGACGCGCAATCAGGAACAGCGTGGTTTTAGTGAAGTACAGTCCATGCCTACCAAAGTCAACAATGACACACTGACATCATCCCCTACACCAGAAATGGGGAAAAGGGCGTTCAAAGTATGCTGCTCCCTCTTCTTAGAATAGGTTGCAAGATACTTTAAAGACCTTTTTGATCGCCTTGTTGCTGGTGACTTATGACAGATTTTGATGAATGGTTCATTTTGTGATTCCTGTATTTATGTTCATTGTCGTTAAGTGTTTTATGTCTGAAACCCTGTAATTGTGCTGCTGCCTGTCTTGGCCAGGACACTCTTGTAGAAGAGACTTTTAATCTCAATGAGGCTTTTTCCTGGTTAAATTTAAAAATTAAAATAAAATAAAAACCACCCCCCAGGACGAGCGCTCAGGTCCTCTGAGCGGTCTCTTCTCGTCCACTCTCGAGCTCAGCGGATTCTCGTCGACCTCCCGTCTGTGGAATTGATTGCGTCCCTTCATCAGAGGCCGTTACCTCATTAAATTCATTCAAAGCACAACTCAAAACCCACATTTTCTCCCCTGGCCTTGAAAAGAGCTCAAACTAATCTAATATTTGTTGTGATTTTCTTGGTTTTCAAAGCTGGTATGTTTGTCTTGATCTATTACACCTCATGGCGAGCTGAGGCTGTTTTAAACGTGCTGTACAAATAAACCTGACTTGGGTTGATATGATTGGATGAGTCAGGAACAATCTCCTTGGTGTTGCTTTGCATGTTGCAGAGAAAGATCTCATCAATAGATTTGAACAAACTACTTCCTGTTTTGCAGCCTGGTGATGCAACCCGCTCTGATCCGGTTTGTAACACAGTGTTCACCTTTATCACAGTGGCCTTCTCCGTCTCAGGGTCATCCAAACAAACCTGTAAACTCAACTGACACTTCCCCGCTGTCAAGGTCGTGACCCTGACCCGACTTCAGCTGATAGCCTTCGTATCTACTGTCCAAAGATGAATAACAAAGAACATGACCTTCCACTGGGTAACAACACCCAACCGCCTTGCACAACCCAGCGCAGGGAAAGCTGCACTGCAGACTCCTACATTACAGAGCAGACGGTGGTCAGCTAAGGCGAGATTAAATGCTGTCACAAGGACAACGAGATCGTAAATGAAGTCATCTATGAGTCAAACTAAATTCCCCCAAAGATGAAAGTCTGCAGAGTAAACTTTGCCCTGAGTTTGCATTTTTCCCAAACACATACATGTATATAACTAAAAGAAGAATTTAGCACAATTAAACCACATCTTAAAGCAGGTAGTGAAGTCGAACAGGTTCATCCAGTCAGAGTGACGCAACAACTGCCAAACGCAGAAATATGACAGCCTCTGTTTCTTCCAGGTAAGATAACAAGACTTCACATCTGCTCGTGCCAAGAGCAGATTTCACACCCTCCATGCACTCCTTAACATTTTTGGAGAATTTAATCATTTATGTTTGCGTTCACACACATGTAGCTCCTTGAAGAAAGCCTTTGTCTGGAGTTTTTTTTAAGAGTTTTCTGCAAGTGTGAAAGAACGAACATTGTACGTCAAACATTCAAGAGTCAAAGATGTAGCTTCCCGTTCCTCTGCTTGCACCAAAAAAAGACAATTCAACCCTCAAAAATCAACCATACCAGAGAACCTACATGCCTTCATGGTGATGAATTCATCAATGTCCCACAATCAAAACCTGCACATAAAACTCAGCCCCTTGTAACAAAAGGTCCAGCGTAACTTATTTCCTCACACAGAGCCTCCACATGAATCTGGTTCTGCTCGAGGCTTTCTGGAGGTTTTTCTACCTATTTGCTTGTTTGATTATACCATGATGGACTCATGTTGAGACTCTGTAAATATAAGATTAAAAGAAGGTACTGTCTCCAGACCTGCTCTTTTTGTAAAGTGACTTGAAAGAACATTTGTTATGAATTGGTCGTATATAAATAAAGATTGACTGATTTATAGAACACGTGAGCGTGGGAGAGAGCTGCATGACCTTGACCCCAGATCACCCTCTGACGAACACTCCTGCGAAAGAACCTCGAACTGTTTCAAGGACCTCTGAGAAATAGGTCAGTGACACTCTGGTGGAGAATTAAGAGTCCACATGCTTGTATCTGCCGAGTTTGAGTGCAGATCAACAAAGAGCGTTTTCAGCCACATTGTTCACTTTGTTGCAGTTGACAAAAGTGAAGTCAGCAGTAGAGAGAACACACAGGTGTTAGAGATATGTTGTCCTTGAATGTATCAAAAAGCCTCCACGCGATTCCTTGTTTGTTAAGCTTTAAGAGTTCAAGGTCGGATTCGAAACAAAGGCCGCTGCAATGAGAACTACAGCCTCCGTACATGGGGCGACAACATGGACGTTAACCCGCAAGGAGGGCTGCAGGCTGGAGTTGTTAGCAATGCTAACGCTAGCCACGCTTGTCAAGCCTATGACATTGTTTACGGACGGCAAAATTCAACCCACAATGCACTGCTTTTTCAGATCACGTTCTCACCCAGCTTTTTATTTTCTGATGCATCCTTTGTGTTGGTTTTTAATAAGTGAGTGACTGGTGATCACAGTGTGTGTTTATGTGTGTGTGTTTCTCAGCACTGACTTGTAGAGGGTGAGGTCCGTCTGTAGATCTGCAGACACTTTGGGAATAGGTGGAGGAGGGTGTCGCGTGTCCTGAGGGTGTCGTGTCTCAATAGCCTCCTGGGGGCTGAGGTGTACGGTGACGGGAATGACAGGCAGGATGCTGATGTACCTGAGAGACGAGAAAAATGAAAAAAAGGTTTATAACAAATGATGACGGGGTCGGAGGAGACGCACAGTTTTAAAACTCGAGACTAAAAGATCGAGTAAAAAATCTCTTTGTTATGGAACTGTTGCGCAATCTAGTTCCGCAATAGAATGAAAAAGAAAATAATAGGGGGCACAGGTGGCCAAGTGGTTATTTTGCGTGCCCCATGTACAGAGGCTGTGGCCTTCAAAGCCTCCTGCTTCCCTCACCTCTTCGCTAAAGTGATGTTGTAGTAGCTGAAGAGAGACGGCCAGTGCCTGAAGGAGAGCCTCCTCCAACCCTCCTCGTCCTCTGCTCCCCAGGTGATCTGGGGCACGGCAGGTGGGGCTTGGGGGAGGAGCCCTGCCCTGGCTGGGCCATGGTGGCCCTGTGATTGGTTCTCAGGTAAGGGAGTTGGATCGGGTGCGGGGTGGATGCTGAGGGTGCTGGTAGGGTCTCCTCCACGAAAGACGGGGGCCACACCCAGGTGAGGGGGCAGACCGGCTCCCCCAGGATCTCCCAGAGGGCTTTGCTCGGACACCTGAGCAGCCAGGTAGGTGCGTATTCCAGCGGGGTCGGTGTAGACGAGGATGCCGATCCAGATCACCGTGCCAACCTGCAGAGGAATCACAAAGAAATGAACGATCAGTCTGTCCGCTAATGTCTGTGACCAACACAGAAGTACAGTTCTGGTACTTTTCCTATTTTTTAAACATCTATTTCATCATCTACAGGAAAGAAAATCCAAAATTTCAGAGATTGTTTTCATAGATTTCTTCGGCCAGCAGCGTCCAAACAGGCTGAAATGGCTGAAACATAATCCCTGTGGCCAAAACCTCCAGATTCCCAGATTAATGTGATAAGAAGGAAAAAGCCTTTTTCTAAAAGAAAAAATAACTTGGTTTGATTTTTACCCCCCGGTTACAGACGCAACCTTCCCGGTGTTACAGTCTGAGTGACACGCCCCCTTAACACAAGATGAAGATTTTTCTGTGATATTTATGTCTTTGTATTGTCTCGGTCTCGGAGCCCTCTGGTTAGTCTTGACTGCAACACTACCAAATACCCTTTGATTTAAGCTCTTAGAGCACAATAAAAATTCCAGTTTCCTCTGTAAAAGCTTCTCACATTTGGGGCGCTGGTGGCACAGTGGTTAGTGCGCGTGCCCCATGTACGGAGGCTATGGTCCTCCAAGCGGGCGGTCCAGTATCGAATCCCACCTGTGGCTCCTTTCCCGCATGTCATTCCCCTCTCTCTCTCTCGCCCTGATTTCCAACTCTATCCGCTGTCCTATCTCTCCATTAAAGACTCAAAAAGTCAAAAAATGTATCTTTAAAAAAAAAACCTTCTCACATTTCAGCAACAAACTAAACATCCAAACAGGAATGTTGACATTAGTTTTCCCACCATAAAGCACTCACTTCACATTTAAGATTCAATAAAGCTTAATGAGGATGAAGTCTTCAACTACCACTCCCTGCTAATGGTTTTCACTTCAAAGCTTTTTTAATCCACTTAAACGGCACACGTTTAAAGTCAGCTTCAGGGTGTGGCGGCCGACACCGATGAGCAACATAATGACGGCAGGTTTTCGTGCACAACGATCTCAGACTAATAACGACTAGGCAAAATGAAGTCAGTTTGACGCCATATTCTCACCATGATGATGCGCTGAGCCAGGCGTGTGCGTGCCAGGAAGTACACCACGCGCAGCCTCTTGGGGAGCCGCAGGTTCCTGAAAGCCGGGGTCTGCAGGGTGATGGTGTGGGGGGAGGGTCGAGGTGGAGGGGGCACCTCACGTGGACGCAGCGGGCCGGGCTTGGGCGGCGGCAGTCCTGCCTCTGCTGGCAGACGGCGGTTCAAGTCAGCCAGCTGAGGGGGTTAAGACATGCGTTACTGACTCATTCCTAATTTCTCTGGCCAGATTTTACTGTAACTACAGGTAAAAACTGCACACACGGACTAACAGTAAGATGACATCACAATATAACTTGAAAACAACGGGCAGCAACTGTGGCTCAGTCGGTCGTCTCCAAACTGGAAGGTTGGGGGATCAATCCCCGGCTCCTGCAGTCCACAAAATTCTCATATCGCTCAGGCCCTACTTTACACAACAGCCTCTACCATCAGTGTGTGAATGTGTAGGTGTGACGTGGTGTGAAAGCGCTTTGAGTCGTCAGAAGACGAGAAAATAAATATACAAGCTCAAGTCCATTTAACATTTAACAACAAAAGACGCAGTCGGTACATTTAAAAATAAATCAATAGATTCTCTTCAGTTATTCTGTGATTTAAAAAAGTGCTCACACATTAACTACTGTTTGACCTAAACTATGTAGAGTGAACTTGTTATTCTAGTTTCTAATAGTTCATGGTGATCCCCAAATGTTGAAAGACAACGAGGGGACTTAAACTCGGTGTATTTCTGTCGGTTAATGTAAAAGCTTCCGGTGGTTAAGCTCAGTTTCTAGGGCATGGAGCTAACCTCCGATGAAAGGTTTCAGTATGTGTGTTACCCTGAAGTAGAACGCTAAGAGGTTTTAAATAAGAAGTGCACATGTGGTTAATCAGAGTAATCTGAAAACTATGTGGTGAATGTATGTGGGGTCTGTGCAGCCGTCTGACCTCCGGTGTGACCTACATCTGCTCGGGAGGAGGGGGAACCGTTAAGAGTTTTGTAATGATTATCGTAAAAGTCTGTGTATAAGACGCACTTTTAAAGGTATAATATGTAGACAATGTTTACATTCAAATATCTAAATTAACTTAAACTACAACTTCCAAAGAAATCTGTAATTATATAGCTGTAAAGGGACCTGTTTTGTCGCGGCAGCCGGCATGACAGACGCGGCATGTTTATCGTTGCCATGGAAACACCGGATGATAAACTTTGCAGAGGTTAATCTATCATAACATGATATGTATGTATTTAAATATGGATCAGCAGAATATATCTACTGTGTGTGTGTGACTGTGTGTGTGTCAGTGTGTGTGTTTGTCAGTGTGTGTGTGTGTGTCTGTGTGTGTGTGACTGTGTGTGTGTGACTGTGTGTGTGTGTGTGTGTCTGTGTGTCTGACTGTGTGTGTGTGTGTGTCAGTGTGTGTGACTGTGTGTGTGTGTGTGTGTGTGTGTGTGTGTGTGTGTGTGTGTGTTTGTGCATGTGTGTCAGTGTGTGTGTGTGTGTTTGTGCATGTGTCTGTGTGTGTGTGTGTGTGTGTGTGTGTGTTTTCTCACCTCCATGCGTCTGATGTCTATAGATAGCACTGTGGTGAAGAAGAACATCTGCAGGAAGAAGTCAGAGACCAACCCCACCACAGCAAACAGACAGAACTCCTACAGCGAACAGAAACCAGAGAGGACCGCCATCAGTTCAAGACGCACAACTTCACACACTCATAGATCCGTTTATAATATCTCTATATGTAAGCGTGTGTGTGTCCATCATTTCCTAAACTCAGCCATTCGTTTTTGTTACCTGGATAGCCGGCACCAGCGTGAAATATCCGATGAGGATGATGCACAGCTCAGTTGCCATGTTCTTCATGATAGACCAGCTCTCATTACTCAGGCCTGCAGAGGAAGAAACCGTGTCAAAGACAAAGATAGAGAAGTGAATCATGCTCCTTTATGGATTAAGACACTCAAGGCAATGACAAGAGAGTTAACAAACGTAGTGATTTAGCTGCATCAGGATGATTTTCATGAGGCCTCGTCCACAGTTTTAAAGATTTATTTTTGGGGCTTTTTGTGCCTTTAATAGAGAGATAGGACAGTGGATAGAGTCAGAGATCAGGGAGAGAGAGAGAGAGAGGGGAATGACATGCGGGAAAGGAGCCACAGGTGGGATTTGAACCTGGGCCGCCCGCTTGGAGGAGCAAAGCCTCCATACATGAGGTGTGCACTAACCACTGCACCACTGCACCACCAGCGCCCCAGGCGGGTGTTTTTGAAAGCTTTTCTTATTTGACCTTTCGTACTCCTTCCAGGGTGAGGATGTTCAGAAACTCTTTAAGGTGTTTATGTAGACGGAGAAAACAGAGTGTTATTCTTGTAACGTCACGCTGTGCGCCGGTTTCTCCTCCATGTGACGTCATTGTGCGATGCTGTCACTTTTGTTGACATGACATTAAGTGCGATGGCAGACGTAACCAAACTAGCGCTGGTGCTAACGTTGCTAAATGGACTTTTTACACGCTCACACAAACACACACAGTTACTCTCCCGCTGTGTTGACGAGCCTGAATGGACGACTTTGAAAATGAAACGGTCATTGCAGGGGAATGGCGAGAATATTTTCACATGTCAAGGACGTCGCTTTTGACTTGCCGTGCTCATGACAGTTGTTTTTGAAGGAAGGAAACATCTGTTTTCAAAAATACCCGCCTACCCGTGGACAAGGCCTCAGAATCGGGAAAACTCAACACACACAAACACTCTCCGCTTTCACCTTGAGCGATGCGCAGTTTGACCTCAAGGTCAACAGGGGTGGACACCACGGACTTGGTGAGGACCAGGACGTTCTCCAGACCGATCACCACCACCAGGTAAGGAAAAATCTCCCTGCAGACAAAACACAACAAAAGTAAGAAAACAGAATACAGGAATGAGTAAAAAGAAACTAAAGGAAGACTCGCTACCCAGAGAAAGAACTTAAAGATGTTAGCTTGAATGATCAGGTAGAAGTTTAGATTCTGGTCCTGTAATTCATAATTTGAATAATTTGAATTTGGACTGCAGTACCCATTTTAAACACTAGGTTTCAGAGTTACATATACTCCTGACTAAGTGCAAAATATAAACACACTTTTCAGTATTGTCAAGAATGATCACAAATAAACACCAAAACAAGACAAACTCACTCAGTGTGAAGAGAGCACACTTTCGACTTTCCTCTCCGCCTCCATTTCAGGTAAACACTAAAAGCTAATGCAGAAAGTGCAGCTGCGCGTTTGTTTTTTTAGAAGACTCTCACTGTTTTGTGTGAGTCAAACACAATTAATAATTTCACCAGAAGCCCCGTAATTTCTTCAGAATCGAGAGGTGGGGTGTTTAAAAATAAGTGTTCAGCCATGAATCATGAGGCGCACTTTTGGTCACCGTGGGAGTGATGTCTGAGCCTGAAGCCTGAAGTGTTTGTATCAAAGCAGTCAATCACTGATCAGCGCAAAGTGAAAGTTGCCTCACAGCTGCTTTTAAGACTATTACCCCAGGTTCCTTGATTAGTTTAATTTTTTTTAAATCTTTTCAAGCTGCAGGAAACTTGTTAATCAATATTTCTCATGTTTGCAGGGAATTTCCCTTCTCTGTATGAGTACACAGGAAGATTTGTTTAAGAGTAGATAAGCCAGTTCTGGGTCAGAGAAGAGTCGACAGCTCTGCACTTCACATCAGACGCACTCAGTGACACTGCCCACAATATCTCAGCCGCCCTGTGTGTGTGTGTGTGTGTGTGTGTGTGTGTGTGTGTGTGTTTGTGTGGCCTCGACCATGAGTAGGCACAATATTTAGCTCGCATGCATGCATGTCTTGGTTGTGTTGGCCTTGATGCTTGTGTACGCAAACACACACAAAGTACAGCACAGCCCATAGCGCGAGGTTGGGCAAGAGTGTGCTGTTGTCACGCCATGATGTCTGCTTTCCAGTGATGCTAAAATGATTGGATGACCTACAAATGTCAATATCACTATTTCCCCGCCCCCCCCCGGGTGAAGTCCAGCCCACTTACAGATTCCCCTGTTCCTCAACCACACTAACACACTGAATTTTCCTCCACTGCCTTTAAACATTAACAAACACACATGTAAAGTCAATGCAGGGGAAGTGGGACGTCAATAAGCCAGTGTGTTAGTGTGTGTGTGTGTGTGTGTGTGTGTGTGTGTGTGTGTGTGTGTGTGTGTGTGTGTGTGTGTGTGTGTGTGTGTGTGTGTGTGTGTGTGTGTGTGTGTGTGAGAGTGTCAGTGTGCAAGTGTGTCAGTAGACCTGTCCTTGTCTTTGTGTTAATAAGATAAGAGATGATGGTGGAACAGTAACAGCCTGATGGGGCAGTAGATATTAACAGAGACAAGTTTGAATGTCAACAGAAGAACATGTTTGTACTAAAGTCTGTGACGAGCATTCAGGGCGTCGATAAAATACATCAGTGTGGATCAAATATCAAATCAATACACAGCCGTCCATTCAGTCACTACCGCAGCTCGCCGCTGGTGAATGATGGCGCTGCGGTGTTGCGGTGTCAAGCAGCAGTACTCACAAATGCTTCTTATGTGGACTTTCAATTCATCTGTCGTGTGAACGGTGTTTACTAACTTTCCCTCTGACCACTCGGATTGGTCACGGATCTTGTGAGTGTTCTGCTTATGAACATTGTTGCCCTGGCGACCGTGGTGAAAAAAAATGGCCGATGGCTTCAACATGTGTATGACATATGCCAAGCTGTTTTAAAACCTAAGAACTACTCTAGTTGTTTAATTTGCTTAAGAACTCTTTACTCGGAGCTGGGAATGGCGTCTCAGCTTAGTTAACCGCGTTCCAGTTGCAAGTCAGACAAGCAACATGGACGCCTCCAGGAGTGTGCTTGCGCAACATCACCAACGTGATAAGCAACGTCCGCTTTACAGATCTTGCAGGAAATCGTTTTTTTCTTTGCAGAATTAAGGGTAGAAAGCTCCGGGACTTTTTAGGACTCTATGGTGTTGACTCATCTGCCCCCATCACACCATGTTTTGTTAACCTATCGTTTACCACGCTCAGCGGAGTGTGGAAAAGTTCATTGGCAACTATTCACTCACTGCACCACCCGCCCCTCGCCCGTCCACCATGGGGTCCAGAGCCTTCGGCCGCTCTGCCCCCTGCCTCTGGTACGCCCTCCCACCACACATCCGTAACACTGACTCTCTCTCTCTGCATCTTCAAATCTCATCTCCAAACACATCTTTTCAAACCGCTATATTCAGCCTGATCATTATCCATCCCTGGTCGAGCATCCTCTTCACTCTGACTTTTTATAAAATGTACATTAAAGTTAATTTGATTGATTTTATCTCTGCTTTGTAAGGTGACCTTGAGTGTTTTGAAAGGCGCCTTTCAATAAAATGATATATTATTATTAGATTTTGATTGATTTTTGATGACAATGTTGACTCATTGTTGTGCCCTTACTCTCAGCAAGTGCAGAATTCACCAAACTCTGACGTTAAACTGCATAATTCCTGTCACTCATCCAGTTAGAAACTAAGAGACAGAGTCCTCCTGACATCCTGGATTCCTTTAAAATATCTTTTCCCGCTGGCATTAAATCATCACCAATTATCTGAACGTGTCTTTGATCATCTCCTTCAAAAGGTTCTTTTTTTTTTTCCTTTGGTTATACACGGGTGGAGACTTTGGTGATCTTCCAAAAACGATGATGATTTTTTTTTTAAAAAAAGGAAAGATCGGGCTCCCCTACCCTCCATTGAGCGTGGGCGTCAGTCCAAACAGAGTACACAGTCCCACAGACATGAGAAGAGAGCTGAGGACTGTGACCACGGCAGCCAGAGCCAGACCCCACTTTGACTTCACCATGTCGATCTTACCTGCAGGGGAGAAGGAGTAATGTTCAGAGCAAGCCCTCTATCAAACTGATACATACCGCCTAAACCACTTTATTTCTGTCTGAATTGATCGTACACCATCGTACAGGCCTACGTTTACCAGGAAGGTTTACCAAATCTGACACTAAAGTAAAAGGAGATTTTTTTACTTAATTATCTAGTAAGAAAAAACACTCTAGTTAAGAATTTTAAAGGAAGAATGTGCGACATGTTCCATATAAATAAATCATAAATCCAGTCTATCCTGTGTAAATGTGTCTCTGAGTCATGACTGTCTACAATGAGTGAGAAGCTCGAGTCCTGCTGGCTGTGTTGTTGTCAGAGCCGTGTTTACATGGACGGGACGGCCGGCTCCTCCCCTTGTGTATAAAAGCTGTTTTAGTCAAGAACTAGAGAGAAGAAGAACATACTCACTGATTATTTGGATGTTAGTAAGAGTTTTTACATCACGCTCATTCTGTGTCAATTAACATGAAATGTGAAGCTACAAGCTAACTAAAGAGCGCTAACATTAGCATGCTAACACAACAATGCAGGACACAGGTGATTGCAGATTGAGCCAATGACAATTTTTTCCGCCGCTGGTGCTCCTTTGTGCGAGCTCAAAGGGAGAGGGGTTGCAGGTGTGTCTCTGGAGTAGAGAGGAGGCTTCAGCGTGGAGGAGGTGTGGCCAAACAGCAGTTTGTTTTGTTTTCATGCTGGAGCTCAAGGGTGTGAAGTCGCACATTCTTCCTTTTTAATTAAAACAAAAATGAGGGGGCGCTGGTGGCGCAGTGGTTAGAGCGTGCGCCCCATGTACGGAGGCTATAGTCCTCAAAGCGGGCGGCCCAGGTTCGAATCCAGCCTGTAGCTCCTTTCCCGCATGTCATTCTCTACTCTCTCTCCACTGTCCTATCTCTCCATTAAAGGAACAAAATAAATCTTTAAAAAAAAAGAAAAATTGCCTTTTTTCTCATCTACTTAAAAAAAAAATCCCTCCACTGTAAAAGTCTGGCAGCAGAATGTTCTTCTGAATTGATCAACATCATTCATATTTCATCAAAAGCATCAGACGGAGAGTAAAATGAGATTAATCACTTTAAAGCTCCTGTGGGGAACTTTCCCTTTGTGATGGCTTTGGCGACCTCTGTGGACAAACTGGTACCTCACATCCTTTTGCAGATTTTGTTTTTTTTCGCCATGTGTATGTCGTTTTTTTTTTCTTTTTCTTTTTTTTAAATCACAAAACAAAACAAAGAAGACAAATCTCGTCCCGCTTTTTTTAGACAGTCAAACGTGTCACTCGTGTAAAGCGTGACTCACGGGTGGAGAAGTAGATGTAGGCAAAGAGGATGATGTATGTGGTGACGAGGGGGATGAGCTCAGCGATGCCGATCTCTTCTTTGAAGTGGACGTGGACCATGTGGTCTTCTCTCAGGCTGCAGTTGGCTGACGGGTGGAGCTGCTTCAGGCGGGCCCGCAGGCTGCCCAGAAACCTGGACACACACACACACACACACACACAGGTCAGGATTATCATCAGTGTCTGGCATACCTCTCACTTCCTCTACACAAGGTGGATATGCATCCTAGGATAGACAGGATAAAATAGGGGGCAGATGAAAACACAAACACGCAAGTGGATGAATTATCACCCTTAACTTTAGGTACTCAGACGACGTGCATTATTATTTTAAGAATGTTGTCAATGTATTTGTGCAATCTAATCAGTGCGACCAAATGAGATGCATCCTTCACATCAGCAGCCACGATTTGATCAAGGAGCAAACTTTACTTCCTCATATTATTACTCACCTTGCGTCGTAGCTGGACAGCACCACGGTGATTGTGTACGTCACCACTCTCTTCCTGTTGTAGTGACTGACCCCGGTGTACTTCCCCGGGACGCCAAACAGCAGGTCTGAAACACAAACACAATTTATAAAAACGTTAAAGGAGCTGAAAACTATATTTGTGTTATGGTGACTTATAAAAGAGGATGCTGAAGATTGATTCCTCATGCCGCATTCTAAGCGTTTGTTTCACCGGTCATATAGCACTTATGACATTCAGGCGCCCATAACGTCGTCCTGCTCCAGTTTCTGCTGAATGTGGAGAGAAGCTGTGTGCACCTCCATCCTATGCACGGAGCTCTCATTCTCAGACCGGCCTGCCATCAGCCACAGTGTGAACAAGAGTTATCAGTCTGCACGTAGCCGGCAGCCAGTCTGTCCCTGACTCCAGCTCCTGAATAAACCTTCCCACCTCTAAATCACTTGAGCTGGACGGTGAGGCAGAATGCTGAGCTGGCTTTGGCCACACAGGAGGGGGATGGAGGGGGGGTTTGGTCACTATGTCAGTGGGTAAAGTTTCAGAGAGAATTCAATAATAAGAGGAATAAAACTGCTTGTTATTTGTCAATATGAAAGCCTCTTAACTTTCTCATACCACTAATCCCCAGCTCACTACCTCCCTATGATGACTGTCGCTGCTTGTTGACACACTACTCCCAACAAAAGGGCAGCTGGGACACAAAAGCCTCTGAACAAACTCCAGAGCTTTGTTTTGCTCCGTCATGTTGTGTTTAAAGCATCGGACCAGCAGCCTCTGCGACACATTGAAACACATTTTCTTATCAGATTCAATTTTAAAAAAGGTAGCCTGAGCTGCTTAAGGGCCTGTGACCATTCATGTTTTATTGCCCGTGAACTCAGTTTCATCGCACATCTGCCAGGTGCTTAGTGTTGCAAGGGTGTTAAAGTTGTCCCTCCCCACAACTGCACCCCTCAGCAGTGACTGTTAAGTCTGCTTTAAATTGCTCTTTATACTTTATATCTGCTTTTATTCAAAGAAATCCGACCAGGAAAACAATAACAAGGGATCACATCCAGGCATTGGCAGCAGCAGCAGCTCTGTGCTGGAAATTTTATCTAATCAAAAGTTACAACTTAAGTTCCGCCCCTTCTTGGTTTTGATTGGGTGGTGAGGGAGAAGTGACATGGAGGAGCGCGGCGTTGTGCCAAAAGTTGAACTACTTTCAGCACAGCAACAAAAACAGCTGACACCGAGAGCGTTTTGCGCTCAGGAAACAGAGCGCTGAAAAAGCTGAACTGCGTTGGCTTTGCACAGAAAATAGATGAAAAAAAAAAGATTTGGAGGACACAGGACTTACATTCATAAACAAAAACAACACAGGGCTCTTTCATTAAAAGTTTCACTTCCATATAAACTTCTTGACTTGACAAGAGGTCGTTCCCCTCTTACTTGCTGATCCCATGTCGGACCATGTCCTACACTAACCCGCCTCAGCCGTACCTCTTAGCGTGGCCGAGGTGTGCAGGCCTTTCGGTTCATGTTTCTGGATGGTCTTGAGGAGGTCGGCGTCTGAGTCGAACAGCTCCCGCTGGTTCTGCCAGTAGTTGCCGGGGGAAACGAGCAGGCAGCCGTGCTCCGGCAGCACAGACTGCATCCGCCTTAACCCCGGGAACAGGTCCGTCACCTGGAGACACAGAGACTCCAGACTGCGGATTCCAGAGCTGACAGAGAGGAAGACAGAGAGAGAGAAGGTTTAGGTGACATTTACAAAAACGCACAAACGCCAACGGCTGCTCAAGTGATTACGTGATAGCGAGAGAAAACACAAGGCTACCAAGAGTCCATGAATTCAACTGAGGAGATCTAAGAAGTACTAAGTCCAACAATATCCCTCCTGGGTCAAAATTTCAGATTCAAACGCTTTATGGATCAACTGAACCGTATTTTTAATTTCCAGGAAAAACCACTAACCTGTCCAAGAACTCAGCACTCATATCAGCGCTTACAGTACGGCTGTCAAACAAACAGTGAGCAGAGGTACAGAGGGAGGTCAAAAGGTCATTTTCCCTCTCTACTCTTGCCCAAGGCTAAATAGTTCTGGTTCATGACTGGACTTGAATCACACGTTTAGGGTCACACACACCATCATTTTCTTAGAAAGCAGCTGTTTTTTTGTTTTTGTGTGCTATTTTCCAGCTTCTCAAAATTCGATGACTTATTACTTATTTTCGTCAGTTAAAAAGTCAGGGGTTGAAAACATGAACTGTTTCCATTCAAAGATGGCGACTCGCTCTGTAAGAACCTGAGATGAAGATTATTTACATTAGGGATCAATCAGGAGGCAAAATAATGACCAAATTATACAAATCTGAAACATTTCTACGATGCCAACTGGTAAGAGACATATGATGTCTTCTTTATCGACTGTAACCCCTGACTGTCTCTCACTGCTCGTCTCCTCCTAAGCAGAAGAAAGGTCAGAGCTTTCTACTGAATAGTGGACTGAATTAATCCAATTAGACATTGCACTGATTAAAAAAAAAGCATCATCAAAAAGAGTCATCATAGCGGACCCTGGTGCTCGTCCACCTTCTGGTGCATTTTCAATCGAATGTATGAAATTCTGGCTTAAGCCAAGTTTTCTTAACTTCCTGTTTGGATAAATTAACCTGCTTTCATTTTGAAAGATTAAAAAGGGAACTCCCTTAGATCAAAGGTTACAACATTAACTTAACCACCAAAAAGGGAAATCTCTATGTATCTAAATGTAAACTAAAACATTTCATTAGGTGGATATCACTTTGTACTCGTCAGCTGAGCTCACATCACTCTGGCTGCAGGAAGATGCTACAATGGATTAACATCGGTGCGACGATTAATGGCATGCATTAACTGCATCCTGATGAACAAGTTCACGCTGACAGCTCTAATCTGGTCCTTCCTCTGAGTCGTGAACTAGCAGCCCCAGTTTTTCAGCAGATGTGTCGGGACAGAAATGTGTGTGTTCACCTGTCGGAGTGGACATGGTTGCGGATCTCCTCCAGCAAGCTAAAGACTCGACCAAGTGGCGACCGAAACACGTCCACCGGCACCAGGCTGCTGTCCCACGGAGACACCGCCGCCTTCACCAACACCTGCTGGATGTAGGCGACTGGAGGACCCCGGTACTACAACACACACACACACACACACACACACACACACACACACACACACACAGAGACAGAAACACACACACACACACGTTAGAGAATCACAACATGAAACCGTTTATCCATAAAATCAGCCATACTGGCAGGTACTCTAACATAAGGCAGTGAAAATCTCCTGTGAATGCTGAGACGTTTCTTGTTGTCCTCCTCTTGAATGAAAGTAAAAACTACTGCTGACAAGTAAGTGAGCCATCGCTGTGTGTTCATCTTCACTATTTATGAGCCTCCATTGTTGTTTCTATATCTGGGCCTGACGTCTGGTTTTACTCTGCAGGATTAGACTGAAAGACTATTCCTCAGTGTGAAGAAATTATGCTTAGAAACAGAAATAGGAAAAAAAATGATGATCACGACTTTCTGGGATTTGTTTGAAAAGTGTATGAATGTATGTGCTTTGTCTTGTCCTACCCAGTCGGGCCGTTCTCCGAGGTCTCCCTGGGGCTCATGGGAAGGGACGCTGTAGTCTCGCACCCCTGTGGTGAACTCCACAGGACCCGTCCCAGGCAGGGGAAGCCTCAATAACGGATAGCTGAGAGAAAGAGAGAGAGAGAGAGAGAGAGAGAGAGAGAGAGAGAGAGAGAGAGAGAGAGAGAGAGAGAGAGAGAGACAATGGGAGAAGGAGGGGGAGGGTCACAGCGTGCATTTTAAGGTCCTGACACACCAAGCAGACGGCAAAACTCTAGCGGCCAAAAAGTTGCACTTGAACACACCGCAAAGACTACAGCCGACAGCCAACCACCACGTACGTTCTGCTCATGCATGAGAGGAAATAACTCTCCATGCCAGCAGGCGGTGGTAGTCCGTTGTTATGGTACGAGAAGACCATTTTTACACCGCTGTCGTTTACCACTCGTATTATAGGTAGTCTACTAATGGAGAATAATGTCTGATAAAAAGTTGAAAATGGCGCTGGCGTTGTCAGCCCCTTTGTCTTTTAGTGGAAAAAAGGAAAGAAGAGGCGGAGGAGACAAATAAGAAGAAACCGCACTAATGGGTGAAAGCATGGATACTACAGTGACATGCTCAGGGGGCTTTCCTGAACCTGTGTCGAGAGCTGGAGAGAAATGAAACCTCCAAACAGCCAATCAGAGAGATTCCTCTCACCAACACTGATTCAACATGTCGAAATGCCCATAAAAAGGCAAATTGGGGGCGACAAGTAGCGACAGAGCCACACCACAAAAACACCGACGCTCCAACTGAGACTGGCGGCCGACGATCTCCATGGTGTGTCAGCACCTTAAGATATGAAACACACGAGTGAGAATGACTGACGCTCTCACAGTGTGCCAATGTGATGGGAAAACAAGGAGCCTTCAGTCCAACATGTGCTTCAACTCGGGCGTCTGTGCCGCATGATATCTGACAACGTAAACAAGAAGCTGCGCAAAGGGTTAAAATGTGCCGCTGCCTCCTCGCCACACGGATGAATGTAACAGACTGCTCGATTGTGGAGTCACATTTCAACTGTGAGCTTTGTGTTTTGTTTGTGTGTGTGTGTGTGTGTGAGTGTGTTCGCTGAACGTGAAACTCTTGACAACATGACACCAAGGCCCACAGCTTTTCTTGCCAGATGAGCCCTTTCAACCTGGGACCCCCCCCCCCCTTCCCTCTTTCTCCTGGAAATGGGTGGGCAGTTATGAAACAAGTTCCTTTAAAGCCTTAAAACCACTTCTTTCTTTCTTCTCCTCTGTCTGTATATATATGTGTGTGTGTGTGTGTGTGTGTGTGTGTGTGTGTGTGTAGGGGTAACAGGTTCATTCTGAAATAGTGTTGAGCAACCCTGACGCAGCTGAAGGACTGAGCTTTGGTGGCGGTTGCAGAAGAGATGGGTAGATAACGGGACAGCACTTGAACAGATTTCAGCACTTTGATACCGTAAAAACATTTTGTCCTTTTTGCTCTCTCATAAAGTATGCAGATGTCGCAGGATTGATAAAAAAACACAAAGACAGGTAAATCCAGAACACCTCAACAACAAACTTTGGGAGAAGCTGCAGCGTTTAAGCGTTACTAAGCCCTGAGTGTGAGACTGACGTTATTCAAGTCTGATGACATTATCAGCTTTTACAGTACGAGGTCGAGGCGGGACACCTGAGGGAAGCTAGCCACGGGGCTTTCAACCTGATTAAAAAAACAAGTCAAAGTTAATGCAAAAGTTCACTTTTCTTTGGCTGGCTCTTAACGTGGGGATCTGAGAAACATGAAATCCTCACCTGAAACCAAGACTGGACAACTTTAAGGAACATGTTGCTTTCAAATTCACCATACAAGAGTTTGCACCATACAAGTAGTAAGAGCCTTCAAATCTGAAATGCAATTTCCAGAAGGGGAGAGTTGACCTTCAGGTCTCGATCCCTAAATGTCTTGCCCTGCCTTGGTCTTGGTCTTGACTCGGTCTCAACCTGCCTTGGTCTTGGTCCTGGTCTTGGTCTTGGTCTTGGTCTTGGTCTTGACTCTGTCTCGATACCGAATTGTCTTGGTCTGGTCTTAGTCTCGCCCTGCCTTGGTCTTGGTCTTGACTCTGTCTCGGTACGAATTGTCTTGGTCTTGTCTCGGTCTCGCCCTGTCTTGGTCTTGACTCGGTCTCGATCCCTAAATGTCTTGGTCTGGTCTTAGTCTCGCCCTGTCTTGGCCTTGGTCTTGAGCTGGTCTCGATAACTTAATGTCTTGGTCTGATCTTGGTCTCGCCCTGCCTTGGTCTTGGTCTTGGTCTTGACTTGGTCTCGCCGTGTCTTGGTCTTGGTCTTGACTCCAAGCCAATCAAAAAGCCCCCCTAAATGTGAAGAACTGGATCTGATTTGAGGACTCAGCTGTTTGTGGAATCTGTAGTCAGAGCGGAGTCATGTCGTCTTCTGCTTGTTTGGAGAGAAAACCTGAAATCCAAACGGCCCTTTGAAGAACAGTTTGCGCAGCCCTGCGCTAAATTAACAGTGTGTGTGTGTGTGTGTGTGTGTGTGTGTGTTACATTTACAACATTGTCAACGCTTATATTAGACAAAGAACGCATTTCTGTAGATCACAGAAAGCTGACGTCCCTGATGGAGTGTAACTTAAACAAACACTGATATGGAAAGGAGTCAGCTTTCTCAATAAATCAAAAGGGAGTTCAGGTTTATATCACCACTTGTGTTATTATTATTATCCTTATTATTAATAACGCCTTGTTACTGCAGGAGGCACTGCGGTGAACTACATAAGCAGCCTGGGAACCAGACTAATCTGCAAGCTCGTGTTCTGTTTGCTCTGGCAGATGCTTCTCGTCCCTCTGCAGAACAGAACTCCTCTCCAGCATCAGGCTGGAGTAACCACAAACACTGATCATGAACGGGCTGTTTACGACACCAAGGAGGCCTTTTGTGCTCCTCCAGCAACTGAGGAGTGGGTGATAACGTTTTTCGCTGAGTCACTCGTATCGATCCATCACATCATCAGCTTTGAATTGTCATCCTGCGCTCAAGACAAGATTGATGTGTATTCCTATCAGGACTGTGCTTGTCAGTTGGAAAGAAACCTCTCTCCTCTCAGTTATCCTCCCTCTCCCTCTCCCTCCCTTCATCCATGCCTCCCACTGCCCCCCCCCCCCCCCTCCCCCTCTCCAAGGTCACTGTACCTCCACAATGGCCTCTTTTGTGCAGAGCCAGCCCCCCTCCTGTCAGGCAGACGGAGGGACAGGCCTCCTATTCTCACAGGGCCATTTTCTCACAGCCCCTCTGCTCCAGTCGTGCCTTTAGCATCTCTATCTATCATCAAGCTCTTTTCTTTTAACCCCCCGCCCGGGTGGTGGTCCATTTGGTCAGCAACCCCCCCGCTGTAACGTGCTGCGAGGACAGCACGCAGCAGGTGCATGCATGTGTTTCAGATTGTGCAGATTGTTTTTACAATGCCTTACACTGCTGAGGCCAGGCAAACTCTCTGACCTCTGTCCTCTCTTTTGATCAACAGATTAAGCAAGAGTGGCTGTGTGTGTGTGTGTGTGTGTGTGTGTCAAGTGTTTGTTTGTGTCATGAAGTCGGCAGGGGGGGGTGTGCAGATGTGTTGAGGCAGTTACTTGTCTCCTCCCTGCAACCACTTTCTCTGCAATTCAATCCGTCTACACTGAAGACACGAATGCTTTGCCTAAAGTTTTAAAATGTAAAAGTAACGACTGAAGCCATATATCTATCCCAACACCACCTCTGCTTTCAGGCGGCACCGGTAGCCTAGCCGAGGTATAGTTCCCCAAGTGGTGGCTTTAAATTTTTCAGAAGGGAGCTCTTGATGAATATATGATATTCCCCGTATTTTGGTCTCTCACATCCTCCTTACTTTGTCTGATCGGAGCCGTGATAGCGGGGCCGTCATTAATATTAAGCTCACCATCGAGACAAAGTAAAGGGGGGCAAGTATCCTCCCTTTGATGCAAAAAAAACGACTACAGTTAAACGATGTAGTTAAAAGGAATGGCGCAGTGTCGGTCATACAGCGGCGCTTCATTCAGGCGCTCTGGAGTGCACAGCCAGCGCTTTACTGCCCGGAAACATGCAGGTGGACACGGGCCCCAAGTCACTCTTCTGCATAATGAGGACATTTCTGTAACTGTGAACAACCCAAGTCATTTATTTTCCACATTTTCAAGCGCCTGTTTTTTCTGCTGATGCCCCTTTAAAGCTCTCTCAGATAAAATGCACAGAACATCATCTAAATGTTGGAGCAGAGAAGCCAAGACAGGACGCCTACCAGCAGGTGAGGATGCTGGCAGAGGTGAAGAGGATGATGGGTACTGGGTAGGAGGCACACAGCAGCCCGTGGCGGTAGAAGGCCGCCGAGATCTTCTCTCTCAGCTGCTTGCGCAGCGTCATCCTGGCGGGCGGGGTCAACTCCCGGCCATTTGGAAGCACTGCCCGGCCGAGTACGGGGCGCCGTGGAGCATCCAAGGACCTGTGGGGGGGGAGGGGGGAGAAGTAACAGACTTTTTTTTAGTTTTTTTAAAAAGAATTGAAAACTTGGAAAGCAGTAACACGATGTTTAGGATCTTCCACACACTGTCTCGAACTTACAAACAAACATCTACTGGCAACACTTTGGTACATTAAAGCGTCGTATAGCTGACTCCGTCGCTTCGTCTGCCTTTTTTTTCACACACACACACACACACACACACACACACACACACACACACACACACACACACACACACACACACACACACACACACACACACACACACACACACACACACACACACACACACACACACACACACACACACACACACACACACACACACACACACACACACACACACACACACACACACACACACACACACACACACACACGCTCTTACAGGGAAGCTCCGTCTAATTAGTTACACACTCCATGTGTGAGTGCACACACCGCTAACATTGTCGGCATGCTGTTTTTTTCCTTCAGACCAGCTCATACTGAGATCACATGCTCAACAGAACTTGAACACACAACTCATTCAGCAGCGAGGGAAAAAAAAAAGGTGTGGACACATTCCCACCAGTAAGAAACAAGCCACTCCGGCTGAGCAGCTCCCCTCGAGCAAACACATGTACGTCTCAGAGATCACACCTGGGTAACAGAAAATACAACAACTGCACAGCTTCCTGACGATAAGAGCCTTTTGTTAGTGGACACGATGAGTACATCTGACTGCTGTTCAGAGAGAAAAGCACAGACGGATAAAGACGACAAGGCGGAAGACGAAGCTTTTCATAAAAGTCTTTTAAAGATCAACCCCAAGACCCCCTTTTTTTTTTTTCAGCTGGAAACCTCTGTATATGTACCGGGTATGAGGCAGTGTTGTTGATCATGTTGGCTCCAAATCTCAGAAATCAAATCCAAATCAAAGTATTTAAATTTTACATATTGTGTTAGAAATATGCATAGTCAACTACAGGTTGAAAACCCGCTACTGCAATTGACTTTGACATAGTGGTGCAAGCTTTCGTCTCCAAACATGATTTGAGAGAATTCACCTGGAGCGAGTGGGAGGGGGGTGGTGACCTTTACTCCCTGTGATCGCTGCACAACCACAGACTGTCTGCACGCCACCTCTACCATCTCCGTGCTCTGATGAACCTGCTGCATTATGTTTCCTGTTCTCCAGGATGTTCTTCTCCACTCTTTGGTTCAGATTGAGATTCTGTTGAACAGACTCTGTTTGCTTCATCCGCCATTCTCTTACTGACCTCAGGATGTTGTTTTAGAAAGGAGCATCCGTGGTGGTCTTGACTGGTCTTAATAGAAAATCCGTAGTAGTTATGTATTTCTTCCTTTGATTGAAGTGTAAGTCCACCCTAACAGAATCCTACAGTTTTGCCCTCTGGCAGTGAGAATTAATGTGGCCCTTGCTGTGACCAAAGTTGCCCATCCCTGATCTAGAGAGCGATGGCGCTTGCTGTAGTCCATATAGCGCCCTCTGCTGGTGAGAGAGAACTGCCACTGTAATCCATTGAAACTCAAATGAAATGCTTTTAGACTGGTGAATAAACTGAGTAATATCGGTGCATATCTGAGATAAAATTAGCCGATACCGATAGTCGCTGGATATGCTAATATCGGCGGTTTGATTAACTTTGAACTTTAGTCCAAGCACACTCAAACTATATATTATACAGAGTCATAGTATTACCGGTGTGCTGAACGCCGATTTCGGATTTATAACATCTGAGTCCTAAAAATTGTGAAATCTCGTCTTAATGGCTGATTCATCAAACTGCAAACACAATCGGCTTCTTCAGTTCCTCATACCAACTCAATCTCCTGTTGACGTTTCTGTTCAATCTCAGCTTTTGTCTCTGTGTTTACTCAGCGAGCAGGTTCAATATATCAGTGTCGTGTGTGTGTGTGTGTCGTTACACACTGGTATATTACAGTGTTTAACTGGCCGCCCTGCTGGCACACACGCTGCTGCTGGATCTGTACTGTATTTAATCCTGTTCAACATTAATTTACCACCTCTCTCTTCTCGGCTTCTCATGCGATGCCAAAACACAACAACACGGCTCTGTCACGTCTGCTGTTACCACGACGTTTCTGTCAAACAAGCCTTGAACTGTTCAGACTGTACCTGTTATTGAGAGGCCAGGTTATCTCTCTGCCTCGGGGTCGTTTGTGTCCCTTGAAAGCAGCAGCAGTGGTTTTTTTTAGCTGAAGCGTTGCCTTGGGGTTAACATTTAGCTCCCCTCTCGACTCGGGCAGAGTGTGCGTCTGCTCGGCTCGTCCCCCCGGGAGCGACGGAAACATTCCCTGGGAGGAATTCACCTCAGGAGTCTCTTGATCTGCTGTTATAAATACCCTATACAGTAAAAACAGCAAGCTCCTGGCACAGCACAATGGCTTCTAAAAAGGTCAAAGGGAGCTTTGTAGTGGAGCCTGTCTGCTGTCCGTTCCTGCTCTCAGACAAGTTCAAGTCCTGCTCACCGTCCAACGAGGGAAAACTTTCAGCGACGGCCTCCATCTCTCTCAGCTGCCAGTCCAGCTCGCTGCATGCTGTGCTGCTCTGTGGGTGCAGCAATGAGACCTGATTTGGCAAAAGGCTCAGCAGCATCTCCGTCAGTGAACTAATCCGGGATTGAGCCGATCGGAAACACAACATGCAGGGCTCAGGGCCTGTGGCCACCCCCTGCTGCCTCCCTCCTCCTCTGTTCACAGCCTGTGGGCAGTTTGTGCTGTATGTCGGAGCATGCCCAGACAATCAGAAGCGGCGCTTTTTATGCAAAACTTTCGACCAGTCACCAGACGAGTGTAGGGAAACTGTTGTTTTTGGCTCAGAGTCTCAGCTCTGTTTTAACAACTCTGGCGCACAAACCTGTGTGATTGGACCCAAAACTGTTTGTCGGCTTTACCGAATACTTATAAAAATAAAAATATATTCAACACCCAACAAACCACAAACAAATCTTTATGACAGGAGCATGGAAAATGTCCCAGTGCTTTTACATACGCATGCTAAGCAACTAATAGTCCAACAAAGAAAAGTCTATGTGGGCTCCCCACGTGAAACGCCAGCACGCTCACTTGCAAACAAAAACACAGCTACAGCATGACACTCTGTCACATTGCGAGCGCAAATTAAGTTAGGGAGATCACTGTGGCGCACTGTGGCTTGATTATATGGCTTGCAGGTGAAAACTGTGCCCTAACGTTTCTGGATAAAGTCATCTAAAACACTAAGAAACAAATTAGACAGAGTTGGAAGATTTAAAAAAAAGTTAAGTTAAAGCACCTTACCTCTTCTCCACACTTCCTAAAACGCCCAGTTTGAAGGCATCTCCAGGGCTTATTGTATCAAATGACATAATCCACAACTTTCTCTATAATCTACATGCCATATGAATTGTCTTCAAGTGAAAAACTGCGAGCAAAAAGCTCCACGCATATCCACAAACATTCCAGAGAGCATTAGGCCGTGTCCGCTCTCCGTCACATAGCTGCATCACCATTCAGTCCCATAGTTGCATAATGTGCGGGCATGTTCCTTTGATCAGTTACTCCCATTAGGCCTGCTGTAAACGGAGCTGTGACAAGCTGGATGAGCAGATTACAGCAACGCAGCCTTTTACAACCACAGCTGTTGACAAAAGAGGGAAATGCTCTGTCAATCAGTAACCACGCTGCAATAACGAATGATGCTTTACAGAGAGTGGATTTCCACACCAGGGTTTCTGACTAATTCACCACGAGAAGAAGAAACATTCACACTGTAAAGCCACACACTCTCCCTGTTAAGGATGTCACAATGCCAGAGTTTTACACTTTTATATGATTCAAGTAAAAATCAAATGATATAATTTAGAGCCCGACTGATGTGGGATTTTTGGGGCCAATACCGATATCAATATTGGAGAAGAAGAAAAAAAAAAAATCAGACACCGATATATCGGCCGATATCTTTCTTACTTCTATGTTCAATGTAGATGGATATAGATAGACACAGATATTGGGTTGATGCCTCAAAGTTAGTTAGTTAGTTATCAAACCCTTGAGGAAAAGTTAATGAAGACACGATGGTTACTCAACTGGAAAGTAACTGAGCATGTACGTGTGTCACCGCTCGACACTTTAGAGGGTAATAGTGCTTGTTGTAATCCATATAGCGCCCTCTGCTGGTGAAAGAGGACTGTTAGTGTAATTCAATGAAACTCAAATGAAATGTTATTTGACAGGTGAATAAATCTAGTAATATCGACAGATATACCAAAGAAAATATCCGATACCGATAGTCACTGGTTATGCTAATATTGGCTGGCCGATTAATCGGTCGGGCTCTATTGTAAACCATATAGCGCCCTCTGCTGGTGACAGCCAGAAAGAAAACTGCTCGTGTAATACAATCATGCTCAACTTAAATGCTATTTGACTGGTGAATAAATCTTGTAATATCACCACTTCTGCGATAAATTTGCCGATACCATATATCACATAAGCCAATATCGGCCGTTATTATCGGCTGGCTGATTTATCGGTCAGGCTCTAATATCTATATCTACAGATCGAACATAGATCTGAGAAAAATGAGCCAATATATCGGTATTGGAGTATCTGATTTTTTCCCCCTCCATCGATATCGGCCCCAAAAATACAATATCGGTCAGGCCATAGTAATATTGGGTATTTTCCCTTTTTTTAATGACCACAAACTGCACAGTCTACTCTGAAATATACAAATACTCGCATACTACATCAATTCAGTGAGTGTAAAAGTGTTTGCTTGAAACTTTTGATGGATTTATTTAAATCCCTTACGCACCTGCCTTATGAAATAGATTTTTTTTCTTAGAGCTTTGGTAGTTTTCAATACTGTCGATTATTTAAAAATGATCACAGAGATTGTATGATCTTAAAACACATGCTAGCTAAAAGTATTGAAAGTATTGAAAGAATTGACAACCTTACTCCCTGAGCCAGGTCTTGCACATTCCTGCTCAAACTAAAAAGCTCTTTTATTACCCTCGATAATAACATATTTAAAAAGTAATATTTTTTGTCTAAAGTATGAGTGCTGTGTTTCTCTATTTCAGCACACATGTAACTGCCATCACGATCTAGATCACAGGACAAAATGGTGAAAGTGTTCTCACAAGACAGTGAACACATGCAGGGGTGAAGGGGCTGATGCAACTCTGTCGCAACATCACCTGCCAGGAACAAGCTAGCACAGAGTGCTATCAGGGATGCACGGGGAGAGACAAACAAGCCACTGGTATCAGATAAATAAAATGTGGTTTTAGATTTGTATCAGGGGGCTTGGTCAAGAGAGGCGTTTCATTAACACCAAGAAGCTCAGAATAGGTTTCCTGCAGAAGACATTTTACACACTGTATTAACCTCAACATGCCAGTGAGAAAAGTTGGTTTCCTGTCTTTCCTGTTGCAGTTCATGCAAAAACTAAACTAAAAGCCACTGAACCTGCCTTCTTCTTTTACCTCTCAGGGTGATGTGATTGAGTCGGTGTCATCTTGGATTATTATTTAAAGCTATGCATCTATTAAGCTTCATATTCAGCGACTCATAAAGAGGTTAAAGTTGCAGCTGATGAAATTTAAGTCTTGTTTTTCTCTTGCTGCAAAAGAAACGTCTTGTTGCTACGTCTTTTATGCCACTGATCGATTATGGTGATGTTTTATATGATGCAGGCTTCTTCTCAGTGCCTTAAATCTTTCGATGCTGTATGGTGCACGGACGTTCATAACTATAAAGCACCAACTCATTAGTGTACTGTATGATCGAGCTGGCTAGTCCGCTGTTGATCAGTACGCTGCTGCTGCTCCACCCACCCAGATTATAAAACGTTTAAAAGGGCATTGAGTGTACAGACTTTTCTGTTTTCTTGGAAGTCTTTTGGGCATTTAATGCCTTCATTGACGAGACAGGAAAGACAGAAATCAGGCAGAGAGAGAGCGGGGAATGACATGCCGCCAGCCTCGAGGGACAACAGCCTCTGTACACGGGCCGAACACACTAACTACTAGGCTACAAGCGCTCCATACTTGTGTAATTTTAATAATGTGAAAGGGCTGGAAGTGTCAGTCTTTGCTCTGCGACCCAGTCACAAACCGTATTCTTGCTATCTGTCCCTGAAGTGCGTCTTGAAACGGGGAAAAGGAGTTTTAAGTGGTGCGCTGCTGCTCCTGCGACCTGAGGATCTGCTGCAGGAGCATTTGTGTCTCTTCATTTTTTTAAAAGTAGATTAAAAGTGTGTGAGGAAGATGTGTCGGGCCGTAGACGCTTTGACTGTCGACTTTTCCGCTCTGGGACTCAGGATATGTTGATCTGAACTCGTGGTTGCTCTGTTATTAAATGTGCTGCTGCCTGTCTTGGTCAGGACACTCTTGTAAATTACTTTGTTAATCTCAATGATGCATAGCTTATGTGAAACCTTTGTGACACATGAGAAGGTGAACAAAAAAAAAAAAACACTGAGCTGGGACATGTAAATGATATTCTAATGAATTGCTTTTCAACGCCATTCAAATATCAGATGATAACACAGAAAGAGGCCGAAGTGTTTCCTATGAAGGAGAATTTAGTTTCCTTCTTTTTAAACCTGTCATCTAGTTTAGCTCTTTTTAACTGAGCTGCCATTATCCTTCAAGGTGCCTTTTTTTTTAATTACTCAACATTTAACTTGGTTACATCAGTGAGAATAAATAAAACCAGAGAAACTGCAGAAATGAACCATAAACCCCTCTCATTGTGAGCTATCTTAATGAGGAGTGTGTTTGGACTGAGTAAACAAAATTCAGTTGCCATAACACTTTAACATCGACGTGAACAACATTTTCGAGATGTGTATCAAATGTGTTTAGTTCACAACCACGACGTAATGAAAATATATCACTTTAACTTCTAATTCTTGTGACTTTCCCGGGTTGAAAACTTGTGATAGCAACGAAGCTAAAGGCTGACGTTCATAACAGCTCGCATAGCAGCTAGCTTAGCAGTGCGAACGTTGGAAGCGGGTGTTTCGTCGAGATGTGCTGCCTTGCAAAAAAAAGATCCCATAGCGCAAAACGATATCAAATAATGAGTCTAGGTCACAATAACGCAATATATATTAACTACTTACTCCATATACATTGTTACGAGTGTGGTGAGCAGGTTTCGGTGCTGTGTTATTGAAGATTTCAGGCGAAGTACATCTCGAAGGGCAATAATCGCCTTTAAAATAATGCTCCCAGTACATAATCACTATCAAACACCACTACTCGCTGCATTTTCACTGTGAGGAAACAGGATTCATGTTTTTTATACTCTATAATTACACATGTATTTAATATTTAAGAGGAGGCATTTCTCTTTGGACGAATAATGCACCATGTACAGCACAGAGCCGCATGGTAGCCAATTTCGATAGAACACCTGCTAACCAGGTTCCCAAATCACTTGACAAACTGATACAAATGATCGAGATAATCTTTAACATAAAAGGGTCCTGCGTGTTTTTAAAATGGGCCAAGGTTAACAACACCGTCTTAACATGGCTGTAAATGTGACACAGGGAATAGTTTATATCTAAATAACCCCTAAAGTTAGCCATATTAGCACATAGGCGACGTTAAAATTTGCACAACACGGTTCTGCGTGTCCGGGGCTCATGTCTGATTTTTTTTTTTTACAATAGAAAACCCGACGGCTGTTATCTCGTTGCCACGGCTGTACTTAACTCTTAGCAGCTAATGTTATGTCATGAGATAATTCAGCAGCTCCCCATGCTTTCAGAGGTAGCTCACGTTAGCATGGGAGCTAACGCTATAAGGGATGAAGCTCCACTTGCCTGGGTAAACTTCAGACAAGAGATCCTCAGATGATGTTTATGTTGTTGTTGTTGTTGATGATCTGGTCGGATCCTCCTGAGTGAAAGTGACGAGCCACCGTCGGGATATTCCTTTTGTTTTTTGAGGGTTTTTTTTTAACTCGAATATGATACTAAGGTGCAGGAGGAGCGTTTCAAATCCACTAATTGTCAAACACCACAGGGACCTCTGAACTGCGACCTCTCACCCTGCAGCGTGTACAGTAGAGACAGGGCGACCTCTAGTGTGCAATAAAGGTATAACTCCATCTATACCAAAATGGAAATCAGTCATCTCATATGCTGAGTTGGAGATTCGGATGTATATTTTGCATCCAGACTAGACTGTTGTAACCCATTGCATCTAAACAGAAAAAAAAATCCTCTGTATCATCTACCCTCAAAACTAATTTGCAGAAATTGAAGGTGGAGACCAGAATCAGCTGTGGAGCTCTAAGTCACACTGTCATCAATGGCTGGATGAGGAGCAGAGCCGTGCAGAGCCGTGCAGAGCAGCAAGTTGTATTCATGTTATATCCCAAACTCTGATAGGTACAGATGAAGCACTATTCTCTTAAATGTTCACCATAGATCACAACTGTACACAGTCTGCATTCATAGCATGCTGTCTGCACACACACGTCAGAATCATCCCTTTACAGATTATGGATCGTAGTCTGGATTTCAGCAAACCAGCCGGATATCCAGAGAAAGTGTCCCATTTTGTTTGCGCTCTACATAAAAACAGAATCA